GACCGAACTGCGGGCGCTGCCAGACTGCAGGCGAGCAGTGCCAATATGCAATGCAGTTGCAGTGGGGTGGACGGGCATTCTCGCGATCCAGGTTCGGTGCTTGTGTCGGTACAGGAGGCATGCATAGACTCGGTATGCACTTTATACCCGAGGGACCTTGTACATAGTTCTAATCATCGCAGAATATTCACCAGGAGAGTTTATCTACACCACGAAGAAGGCGGCGCAGCCAGCCAGCGCCAGAACCGGATCAGATCTCACTCTGTCGCAACCCGTCGATCCCTTCTCGTCCTTATCGTCCAGTCAAAAGGCCTTGTTGCACCATTTTATCAACGATGCCTCCCAGATCACAGCGTGCCATTCGGGGATGCAGCAGGATATATGTCGCATGCTGATCCCAATGGCTCTCCAGACTCCCTCCTTACTCTACGCTACAACCGCTCTATCGGCGATCCATATCCAAGCCCTACACAATCAGTCGGAGAGCGTAAAATCAGCACCGGATATTGCCCGGCTAATGGCTCTCAGTCTTGAACATTTCCAAACAGAGCTGCAGAATCCCTCATCCAAGGATCCGGAGGCGCTGGTAGCAACTGCTCGGACGCTCTGTCTAGCTGAGATTCATTCTGGGGCGATCAACCCGAACTCGTGGAGAGCACATATTGACGGGGCGAGGGCATTAATGAGGGCGTCTGATGCCGCTGGCGATGATTCCCTGCGGTCTACAAGCGGGTTCCGGCAGTATTTGGATCGTTGGTACTGGTCGATCGTGTCGCTTACAGCATTGACAGGCAATGGTCCACCCATTGGAGAGATTTCAGACTTCGCCTCCTCTGATTTGATGGGGTTGGGCGGGTCTCCTGATTATTTAGATGACTATTGGGGTTTCAGTGTAGACCTTGCGGCCGTGTTTAGGCAGATCGGTGCTGCTGCTTGGCGAAGCCATGAAGCTGAGAAGGCTACTCAGGGCTTTGTTGCAGGAGAAATTGACGGCAGTGTTGAGGATGATGCCGCGTCCTTGGAGCTTGCAATTCGACAGCTCATGGGTCGTGACTCAAACTCGCAGCCATCCTTTTACCCTAGGGCAGCAGAAGGCTTATCTGTGGAGACTGCGCAGCAGCTCCTGCTATGCAATGAGGCATTCCAGCACAGCGCGCTCATTCAGATCCACCGACGGCTTCGGAAAACGCCAACTACGTCGCCAGAAGTGCAGCAGTCGGTCCAGCGCATCCTGGAATGCACCGCACAGATTGGCCCATCGTCAGGCCTCTCGCCTTGGGTAATGTTAACGACGCCAATATTTATTGCGGGCTGCGAGGCGCGCGGTCAAGATCGAGATACAGTCCGGCAACTGCTGTCGTCCTTACATGACACTATTCGTGTTCCGAACGTTCTTCAGTCATTGAACTTTCTCGAGCAGTATTGGTCTAACCAACTCAGCGAAGAAGAAGACTGGAGCCATTTCCTCGGTATGATTTTTTTTTCAATCCTGTTGATGTTTTCATGCTAACATCTCATTTATAGAACGAATGCAGTTCGATTTCATCCCTTACTAGGGAGACTTATTATGCCTCATGTGCAATGATATATGCCTTTGAGTTCAGGTTGTATATATTATCTTCTTTGGTACACTATAATTTTCTGTGTCAACAAGTCTATGTTGGCAGAATTTTGGTTTGCATACCTACATGCGTTTAAGCCCTGGCGTTTGGAAGTGGCTAGCGATATATATTTTTTTAGCAATTGTACACAACTATCTTTCCCTCTTCAATTCAACCCTTCTCTTTTGGTTCACCCATATCCAATTGTGACTCACGAGTTAGCTGGGGAAATAAAGAGCGTGTTGTCTATTACTACTTTCGGCTAGCACTCGTATATCTACTCGGCCGGCAATACTGATATTCAGAGCAGTGATCCCCATCCTAACCACTTGTTCTTTTGCCTGGAAGCATAAATATGTAGGGGATATGTATATAATGTAAAGAAAGTCCCTTTTAATCAAATTATTATAAGTATTATGAAGCATACCAAAAGAAAGAAAGTATATATATTTCTACATTGTATCAGCTTTGTCTTTTTGAAATATGAATTTTCTTCCACTTTAGGTATCTAAAGTTGTTATAATATTTTAACAATTGACCCAGACTTAAATTTCAGTACTCTTTCTTTTTGGCTACTTTGAGAAAACTTGTATGCCTGTAAGTATTATTGTGGAAGTCAGTGGACAAAAGGGATTTGATTTATAGATACCAATTGGTCTCAAACAACCAATCAACTGGGCTTGTGGTTTAGTGGTATAATACTCCCTTAGCATGGGAGTGGTCCAGGGTTCGATTCCCTGCAAGTCCAGATCTTTTTTATCCACTGTTTAATAAACAGTGGCAATTTTTTTTTTACAGTGGGTCACATTGATAAGCCTGGCATGGATTTAAGGGTCGGGGTCGGGCAAACTTCATATAATTTCCAGGGTTCTCTCGTATACGCCATTCTGCGCGGCGTCTATTGGACGTTCTGATTCGTGCAGACTCCAACCTCCATTTATAATATCCGATTTTCGTCATAGATGCTCTTGAAGCCTTTGGAACCAGGTTGTGATTTCTAACGGACTTCTAAAAGGATTAGAAATCTAGAAAATCGGAAGTATGTATATAATTTGTCTATTGTACCTCTCATTTAATAGTATCCCATCCAATTTAGCCATCCAATCCTACTGCAAGGGTGTCTTGCCCTTTATATCCTTCCCATCAAAATGGCATCTGTCATTCGAGATGCCCCATTCGGGCAGCTTGTTCGTCTTCTGACAAACAACAAATACTTCCAATACCCCGAAGAAAAGCCCGACTTCAAGCTTCCCGACACATGGCTTCAATTGTTGAATCCAAGCGGAAATGAGAGTGAAAAGAATATCACCCGACGAGACTCCAACCGAAGCGATGGATACAGTGAGCCTCTAAGTCGGGCCTCTACCGAAGCATCCCTGCAATTCACTGAGGCTCGTCTCGAGGCCGACGAACAACATGAAATTGACCAAGTCAAATCCATCCCAATCGCCCCCAAGAAAACAATAGACGGTACCATCCTCGTTGATTGGTACTATACCGATGATCCAGAAAATCCACACAACTGGTCCAGACGCAAGCGTATTCTTGTTACTACCCTGATCTGTTTATATACCTTTGTGGTATATAGTACTTCTGCGATTTACACCCCCTCGACAGAGGGTGTCATGAAGGAGTTCGGTGTGAGCACCTTGGTCGCTACCCTGGGGTTGTCACTCTATGTTCTGGGATATGGTACCGGACCATTAGTCTTCTCTCCACTGAGTGAAATCCCCATGATTGGACGCAATCCAGTGTACATAATCACGATGTTCCTCTTCGTGATCATCTCCATCCCAACAGCCTTTGTAAAAAACTTCGCTGGCTTGCTGGTGTTGCGCTTTCTGCAAGGCTTCTTTGGCTCCCCCTGCCTTGCATCTGGAGGTGCTTCTATCGGAGACATATACAGTCTAATGTACCTGCCATATGCCATGATGGCTTGGGTCTCTGCCGCCTATTGTGGACGTAAGTTTCCCTATCTATACCGAATACCTGTCCATATACTAACCAGACTATACAGCCGCTCTCGGCCCTCTCCTCAGCGGCTTCGCCGTCCCCGTCAAAGGCTGGCGCTGGTCCCTCTTCGAATCAATCTGGGCCTCCGCCCCAGTATTCATCCTGATGTTCATGTTCCTGCCAGAAACCAGCACCGCAACAATCCTACTCCGACGCGCTGCCCGTCTCCGCAAAATCCACAATACCAACCACTTCCAGTCCCAATCCGAGATCGACCAGCGCAGCTTACGAATCTCAGCTGTTGCCATCGATGCCCTAATCAAGCCCATGGAAATCACCATCAAGGATCCCGCCGTCCTCTTCGTCCAGATCTACACCGCCATCATCTACGGCATCTACTACTCCTTCTTCGAGGTCTTCCCCCTAGTCTACCCAGTCGATTACAACATGAACCTCGGCCAGACCGGCCTTGTCTTCTTATGTATAATGGTAGCATGCATTCTCGGCATCGCCATATACGGCAGCTACATCTACTTCTGGATGAACCCTCGCATCCGCCGCTTCGGCTTCCCTCCAAACGAGGATATTCTTATCCCCGCGCTGCCTGCCTCCTTTGGCCCTATTATTGGTCTTTTCGTCTTTGCCTGGACGGCTCGTGCGTCCATTAATTGGATTGTGCCTACCATCGGTATCACCATCTATGGTGTCACGGTTTTTATCCTCATGCAATGCATCTTCCTGTATATTCCCCTCACATACCCCAAGTACGCGGCTAGTCTGTTCGCTGCGAATGATTTCTTCCGCAGTGCGCTTGCTTGTGGCAGTGTGCTGTTTGCGCATCCGTTATTTGGGAACTTGGGTGTTGCTCGTGGTGTCAGTCTTCTTGGTGGATTGAGTGTTATTGGTATCATTGGTATCTGGTTACTTTACTTCTATGGTAGCAGACTTCGTGCTTTGAGCAAGTTTGCCAGCTAGGAGGAGGAGGTGGAATGAGTGTGGCTTTTGGCTGACTATTTACGATTTTCGATGATAAGTTCTTACAGCATCTTTATTGATGGCGTTCTGGAGAATCGACGAGCATATATATTTTAAATAAGAATATTAATAAATAATATTTTAAAGAGTTCTTTATCCCTTAAATAATTATAATTTTCTGATATATGGCTAAAAGAGATAAGGTGATAAATAGCCACATTCTTCCTCTTATGGGCTCTATGTGAAAGAACGAGAAACATGCTTAGCCTATAATAGCTAAGAGTCATCCTAGACGCCAATTAAAAAGTTACGTCTACCCATATTATGTGGTTAATCTACATCGGAGAATAAGCGACACTATGTCTTATTATTTCTTCTGTGGGTTAGAATTAAGAGGGCGCGCTGATAACTTTAAAATAATTATTCTAGAAATATCGTTTAAGACGAGAATTGAGATCTCCGACGCTTTTTTTATCCACAGAGAGAAGTTATATCCTCCGGGACGTAGGGGCTCATGATATCAATCAGCTTCGAGAGAGGGACCCAGTCAAGAGGACCGTGGATGCTTCGAATGGGATGGCCACTATACAAAACCCGGGCGTAGAAGGACTCCCCATGCTTCCCATCTTTCGTCTCCCTGAAAAAAAGTTAGAGAACCCCAGTATATAAGAAAATAGGTTGACCTACCAAACTTCAAAAGCAATGTTTGATGCCATACCAGGCCAACGAAGCGTCTCAATTCCCAAAGAACCTAGGATCGGACCGATATCCCCATCATGAATAAAGATGTGACTGTAATCAAGGGACGACTTCCCATCTAGGACAGCTTGTAGACGTGAAATGATCTCGCCAATAAACAAGCCCTCGACAACCTGGATGTACTTGACTACATCCGGGTTCGAGCGCCAGTAGTAATTCCACTCCCAATCACCAGCACGGAAGACCTCTTCAGCCATCTGCATTGTGACACAGGCTGAGGAATTCGACAGACTACATGGCAGATCATAGCCATTGCAAAGGCGACCCTGGAAGTTATCCGCAAAGTGATCAAAGGTACTCTGCCATGAACTGTCGGTCGCCCCCAACATAGCGCCTAGCTTCGAGCGCAACTCTTCGGTGACAGCCAGATGCTCTTTCCACTGAGTAGTAGACTTCATGCTCGACAGAGTAGAGCCGACAGCAGGACAAGAGTATCCTGCATTGACGGTATTCACAGATGAAACCATCTGGTGCAGGGGCAGAGCTCCCTTATAGTGAGGCCACATGCCGCGCAGGACCGTGCCAGCCGAGGCCTGCGTGAGAGCGGACTCGCTGGAGCGGAACCAGACGCGGTTGTTTGGCTTCTTGGGGATCAATCCAAGCTTCTTGCCGTAGACGCTCCACAGGTCTTTACCGTGTTGATACCCGTCCTGGACTCCTCCGATGGTGATCTGGGGGTACTGACAGGTGCCGTTCACGCCGGGCGTGAATGGGTTGGTCGGGTCCTGATATGTCTGTGCATACATTGGCATGGGCTGGATGTCACTTGCGCTGTTGGGGCCTGCGTAGAGATACGGGCGCACATTGTCGCAGTGATATGCTTGATTCTGGGGGAAGGGGTTAATATGGACCGAGAGTCAAAGGTGATTTGAGAGTTGCTTACCTCCCCACCTGGGAGAATGTTGTACGGAGTTCGTCGCTGGTGACGCTGGAGATACTCCAGGTACACAAGCTTTCCCTTAGCTCCGTTGGTTAGAGCTTTGGGCAGCTCGTATTCATCCGAACGAGGATGCGGCATGGAACAGTAGTCGTAGGTCCCGTAGGGGCTTCCCCCGGTCGGACCACTGGCTGGAGCTTCATAGATACCACCATATGTTCCGATTGAGCTGTTGTTGATGTATGTTGTATCATTCAGCGTTGGGGGATAGAAGGAGTTCCCCGGGGTTTGTCCCAGCACTGAGGCTGTCACGGAAAGCAAAACGAGACTGCGCATGATGGAGATAGGTTTTGAGAAAAACCAGGTTTGTCGGAGACTTTCGAAGATATAGATTTCCGAAGTAATTGCCAATAAACCCAAGACGAGAAACAAGATGAAGCTCCACCGTAGTCGCACCAGTCGCGACCTAACAATTGGTGCACGTGGTGTCGTCGAGCCAACCTGAGCAGCCATATGGCTTTATAGCCTACTTTGAACTAAATTGCTCTCAACTATTTCATCGAATGAGGTCTATTTAAGGGGATCGACAATGATTCCCCGAGGTTTCCGGTAACTGCGTGGGTCTTGGCGTTGATACCATCAACACCCCCTGCAGAATATTGGGAGGGCTTCTTTCAGCTATAACACTGCATATTCCAAGTATTCTCAAAGTTAATCTGGGAATTTTGATTACCTGTTGACTGCACTCTCAGTATTTCCATAATGATGTGGAAGGCTTCGGTTGTTATGGCCATGGCCATTCCCCTGGCGTCTGCCGCTCTAGCGGATTTCGGACTTCAAACAGTACTTGACACCGCCACTCCAATATTTGGATCGTACAAGAAAAGCACAGGGGGAAAATCGGAATGGATGAAGAGCTATCCCGATGAAACATTGCTCGTTCATATGAACATCCCTGGCACTCATGACAGCGCCACGTGGAATTATACCCAGGCGACGCAAAATGCCCTACGGGGCATCACAGATCTCAACCAGGTCGTTGTTCCAGTGCCAGAAGCATTGCGGTGCCAAGAGTCATCTTTCATCGATATGCTCGACATGGGAATCCGGGCATTTGACCTGCGGTACGCTTTCGATCCAACAAACTCCACCCTCATATTCTACCATGCACAGGCCCTGCTTTCGGAGACAGCCACAGTCAGTGATGTGCTGTTTGGCTTTTATCAATGGCTGGATGATCATCCCTCAGAGACCATCTTCCTTTCATTCCAATACCAAAGCTCGACGGGCCTGTACGCCTCAAACAACGGGGCCGTACAGCTGCAACTCTACAATATTCTCACCTCCCCTGCTGCACGCTATTATTTCATGCAAACAAAAGACGAACTAGGCCCGCTGGGTGACGCACGTGGAAAGATAACTCTCATGCGCCGTTTTGACTTGGACCAGCTTCCAGATTCTTACACAGCCGCACTCCCCGGCCTGCACTTCTCGCCCAGTCTCTGGACCGATAACGGCGCAGATATCACCCTGGTATACAACAAGGCCAAGAGTTTGACCGCCTACATAGAAGACTACTACCAGCCGCTCACACCGACAGGGTCGAGTGCGATCGAGAACATCAGGTGGAAATACAATGCCACAGTGAGAAGCATTCACAAAGCTACTAGTCATCACCCGGACAGTCTATTCTGGACTTGGGCGTCTAGCAACAACATAGCAAATGACCCTCCCTATTCGCCTCGGATCATGGCACTGGGAAATGGCACTGGCTATACACCGGATGGTGGGGTTAACCAGCAGTTACTGCCTTTCCTGAAAAGACAGAAAGGCAAGCGAGTGGGGATTGTGATGTTTGATTTCTTTGAGCAGCCCTCTGACCTGATCGATACGTTCTTAGATTTGTAAAATACCAAAATCTCTCTGATTTTGGTAGGAGAATAGTTAATTACCAAGCTAGTCTTGGAATAAATATAGTCCGCGCCTCGGGCTTATACTTCGGCGCAATTGCAGAACCGGATTTGCCTTCTAATGGGCTTGCGGTCGTAGGGAATTCGCTCATTAAACAAGGCAGGAGCGATGGCGTAGAGACGAGTATCATCTCCAGGTATAACATCGGATCTAACATGACATTATCCATGCGACCCTTCCCATATTCACTTGTATATGGCGCGATATTGGATTGTACACACCTGGGCCCCTTTTCAGCCTAATATCTATACTTCTCAGGCTGCCCGAGTGCTGATCGACGATCAGATAAGATCAACTCTATCCGGGCCCACTTCTCTTTGCCAGTGTCAACACGATTTGGTTGTTCTTATACATGCAAGAGCAACACATTTTGCGAGTGCACTGAGAGAAGCAAGACGGTTGACTTGTTTATGATGATCTATCTATATCCAGCACGGGTAACGTTATAAAACAAAATGAAAGACACAAAATCTTGCGGTACCATGAAACGACGACTCGCACAGCTTCGAGTCAGATCGCAATGCCAATCAAATCAGACACAATGCCCTTATCCTCAGCTAAAGTCAAGCTCTCCACCAGGTCTGCAAAATTTGGTATAGCGATATTGCGATCAGAGAGAAAACCCATCTTCCAAGTTTCCCACTGAGGTGTATCCAAAGAGCACACGAGGCTCGCACAACGGGCGAATTCATGTTTCTCAAGAATGTCCTCCTGATCAAGACAGATGCATCTCCATGCATCGTCCACCTTAAACACATAATCCCAGACGTCACGACATTGGCTGAATTTGATATTCTGCAACTCAAGCCAGCCAGACCGCACCAAACTCCAATCAGAAGGTTTGCAGTGTTTTTCCAGCTTCTCCCACATCTTTTGTGCATTTCGAATGTTGCGAACCATCGGCCTGGTAGTGGGAGATAGATTTGCATTAATGATTTCCCTCGCCGCCTCGTTCAGGCTGTCTAATTGGCCTCCCAAGTAATGTGATCGAGGAAGTTGACCGATTCGGCCATCAACCAAGTCCCAAACCAGATTTTCGCTCAGAATAAGCTTCATTTCGCGGCGCCAGACGCGATAGTCGGATCGGCCGCGCAATGGTGGGCAGTCGCATCTTATTGGTAATTTATCTTCCCCGCGTTCCTTTCTTAAGCTGAAGGAACGTTCAACGGAGGTCTCTGGTTTGGCGATTGTTCGGGGTGTGGAATTTCTGGAGCCTTCGGGCGCGACAGTTGTCTCAATGGAAGTTTTATCAGCGAAGTAAAACCGGCGCCTTTTTGCGGGCGAGCTTAGCGGTTCATCTTCCGGGGGCCCTTGCTCGGAGAGATATCGCTTCGTTAATGGGGTTGAAGAGGTCATGCTGTTGATTTTTGACACGGAGGTCTAGCTTGGTAGATAAGGAAATCTCCAACGTAGATTAGGGTATGGCAGTGATGATCGAAAAGGAAGGTTGCTTATCAGAGAAGTATTGTAATCTTGATGTATGATGTCGCTTACTGGTTATGGCAACGAGAATTCATCCATGTCTTGCAAGGGGTAGATCACCTGTTTATATGCACAGAACAGAATCCTGTCCTTCTATGACATTATCAAGAAAGACTAGGCCCTCAAACATGCAGCCCTACATTCCTTGGCAAATTCAAACAAGAAACGGTGATAACACTTTCCCCCTTTCCACAGTTTATCGAGCCGACGGGATACAATTTCCCTGTTTGCTTTATAGCCCCCAAACCCAGAAAAACCTGTTTGCCCCCTTTGCCCATACACATTCCGCGCAGCTCCTTAGACTTTCAAACTTATCTCACCGAATACCCTCACTTTGGCATAGCCAGCATACCAGAGGCTGTAACTCCGACTTCGTTGTCATCGGCGCTTTGGAAGAACTAGTCGCGTTTGTTGACTCATTGAAGTTCGGCAATTCATTGTAGATGGCAGTATAGTTGATAGAGCTCATTCTAATGCAGTAACTGTCACTGCTAGGAAGAATGCTGCTAACATTCCCACTGAAATTTGCCACCGCTGCTCTTGGTGTCGGCTATGAAGATACTGGTTTAGTCGTAGACATAACGCTAGATGCATGAACGAGGATTATATTGTATTTACTGCTGATAGTTGCCACACCTCCCGTGATATGGGATTCTTCGATGCCTCCTAGCTCAATATTGATGGGGCTTGAATGGCCGTGCTTTGACATATTCCACCCTATAGTGTAAATGGAGCCGGTATAAATGGTTTCACCGTTGGTAGGTTGGGTTATTGGATTGAACTTAGAGTCGAAGGAGAACCCTGTGCCCAATAAGCCCACCAGGGCGACAATGTAGTAATGAAAACGCATATCGAATGTTATATAGGTCCTTTGTGAATAAACAGTGTGATTTTCAATCGAACAAGGGTTGAAATGGAGGAGCATGGCAAGGTGAACTGAAAACGAGGGCCGAGGGGAGCTGAGGCTCAAGAACAACCGGGTTCTCTGTTTATGAATTGGGGCCGTCAACCTTGCTCTTCATTTGAAGCGGAAATGACTTCCTAGATGTCTCTATATGAGCTGCCCGTATGGATTGGGGAGGTGACGTGCGATGAAGGAAGGTGCAAGGCAGGTGCCCACTTTAGGAAGGTACGTGGGCTGAGGGTATAAGCTATCCCTGTAGACTCATTACTTGGTCTGAAACCCGAGAAACCATACACCATACCACTGCATCGATAAAAAAAACTTATAACTTGGCTATATTGTGTTGACAATATCGTAAAGCTGTCTCAGTGTGCCTTGAGCCGCCTCGACTGAGCTACAAGATAAGCCGTCACTGACAACACACTGATAGCCCCAGCAAGCAAAGAAAAATTGCTTAACAAAGTCTCCTCCCGAGCATGATTCACTTTCGTGGCAGCCTTGCTTACCATACGGTCCTTACCAGTTCCCTCGGCAATATAATCCCGCCACTGCACATTTGAGAGTTCACGTTGATAATCAGCTACAGTTCCACACCAATTATTGGTGATGACCCCGTCATCTCTCTTGTACCAACTGTTGCAATTTGGGTCCGCGAAGCTGGTATGCCGTAGAATGTGCTGGATCCTATCGTTGTAGCTTTTCAACGCACCCAGCTCTGGCTTGAGAGCCAGCGTCTTTCCTTGTTGACGGGCTCGCATCACTTCCCCAACAAGGGTGTTCAGATATCGTGACTGTGTTTCGATCATGAGGATAATGGAGTTGTGTCCTTTTGATTAGTTAGAATGATAAACCCATGATGTTATTTGAAGATAGGATATCTCACCGAGATTAGTGTTAGGACCATAGAACATTCCAAAGTTGGGCAAGTCCTCGACGGTAACACCATTAAGTGCCATTGCTCCATTTTTCCAGATATCTTCCAAGGACCGGCCATTTGAGCCGTAAATTTGGATGGGATGCATGAACTCCACAGTTCTAAAGCCAGTAGCAAGAATGATAAGATCGTATTCTTGTTCGTCTTCTTCGTCGACTTTGATACCCGACTTCGTGATACCTGTGATGCCGCGTGTCTCCAACTGGACGTTTTCACGGGAAAGGGCGGGATAATAGTCATCTGTAAGAAGGATTCTCTTGCACCCCGGCGCATAAGTGGGTGTCAACGTATCCCATAGCTCTGGTCGATTAGGCAGTTGGGATTTCATCGCATCGATACATGAGGTCCGAATGAATTGGGAAAGTGCCGAATCTTTATCTATGACAGCTGCAATAAAGCCTTCACGGAATTCCATTTGAAGCGCGCGCTTGCGCCAGTGAAGCGGTGGAACCCATTTGAATAGAGCCTTTTGAAGGACAGACACTGGTTGATCTAGGCGAGGGATGATCCATTTTGGCGTCCGCTGGTAGATAGTGAGATGAGAAGCAACTCGAGCAACTTCAGGGACAATTTGAGCGGCGCTTGCTCCTGTAGAATGAGTCAGTATTGTATTCCATAGGCCGACTTTTCTTTATTTCCCTCAAAATACACACCGTTGCCAATGATTGCGATTCGCTTTCCTGTCACATCGTAACTACAATCCCATCGAGCAGAGTGCATCATCTTCCCTTGAAAATCTCCTAGACCTGGGATGTTGGGTGTTTGGGGTAAATTGAGCTGCCCGACAGCAGAGACAAGGAAATCGGAATTCAAAACGTAGGAGCTTGCGAACTCGCTCTCTTTCTGCCCTGAAACCACGACGTTTGTCTTCCACTTAGACTCGATGTCATTCCAACGGGCCTCCGTCACCGTGGAGTTGAATCGAATGTGCTTGTAGAGTCCATATTTCTCTGCAACGCCAACGAGATACGCCTAGTCGATGCACGATAATCAGCAATCGTTCGTATATAGCAAGGCATGCCGAGGGTCACACATATTACTAACATGTATTTCTTCTTGTCCGGGATACTCTCTCGACCAATTAGGATTCTGTTCAAAGGAATAGCTATAGAGCGAGCTCCAGACTAGATTTCATCAGTTGCTGTCACTGGTTATGTAGAGTATTTCTTACCATCACAACAGCAGCCAGGATACTTGTTATCATTCCAAGTTCCACCTACGCTGCTACTTCTCTCGAGGATAACGAAATTATGAGTTTTATTCCGTTTGATTAAATCAATCGCCATGCATATTCCTTGAGGAAGGGTTAGTGGTTATTATTTGCCTTGGAGGACTTAGCATACCCGATATGCCGGCGCCAATAATGACAACAGTAGCATTGGTGAAGTCTTTGTTTCCCACAGGGAGACGCGTGTCACTCGCCATCGTTCTGAACAATGTTGACTATGCACTATTCGAGGGTTGACAGGTAAGTTATGGGCGGAAGACCAGAATATAACCCAAAGCTTCCCCGCAAACATTCAAACATTACCTAGTAAATACGGATTATCGATCACCAGGGTGACCGATGCCGATTATCCTTAATCCTTGCGCTTATGTATTTATGCAGCTCTTGTCACATATGTAGCATGCATAAGCTGCAAGGTGGGCTATTACCGTCCATGCCGATCTTTTTGACAGGAATGTAAACAATTATCTGGCAAATTTGGAAGACTTCGACATGTAAGGCTTGATCCGCGTATAAGGAATCAATAGGTCAAGATCATACAAGTTTGGATATTTGGATATTTGGAAATGCAGGGAAGCTGGAATACCGAGACATATGCAGTGTTCCGAAGATTAGTCTGAAGTTTGATACCTAATCACTTCTAGATACTCTAAAATAATCAAGGGAGTTCAATCCCTTCCCTTTCTGCTGTCTGTAAGATGTATTGCTTGACCTGGATAAACATGAAGAATCAGCCATTCCGATCTAAATGGATACCTAACTCAGGCGAGGGGCTTACCTTGTCGTCTGGGACTAGCTCAATGGCCAGTCTACCTTCACTGTCTCTCTTTTCCGCTTCTGCTCCAGATTTCAACAATAAGATCGCGGCAGGTCCGTGTCCCTCGGAGATAGCGTGATGAAGCGCGGTGAATCCGTCCCCGTCCGTTGCGTTGACAGGACTCTTACCCTCTTCCAAGAGGGCCTTCAAGATAGGCACAGATCCCACTGCAGCTGCTCTGTGAAGGGGCAGCTGGCCACGCTTATCTTTGACTCTGGCGCTACATTTATTGGCAAGCAAGGTGCGGACGGTGGAAAGATTGGACTTGGAACTTGCGAAGTGCAGCGCATTCTACTAGATAGTAAGTCCATGTACCCCCAATAGCCAATTCGGTCTCTCGGAAAGCTGACCTGTCCAGTGTTGCTTTTGATAGAAACGTCAGCTCCTTTTCGCAGTAATAGGTCGATTGTTGCGTCGCCGGCGGCATCTTTTAGGCTAGCTGCAATCATAAGAGGCGTCCAACCGGATCCATCCTATGATGAGTTAGTAAAGTTATATGATATTGGCTAGTCACTGTTGAAAAGGCGTAGAGAATTCTTTTCGAAAAGATGGCAACGATACTCACTTCTACATCTGGGTCGAAATCCTTCATAGCCACTAGTAATTCCACGACTGGAACTCGGTTGTAGGCCACAGCCCAGTGGATAGGGAGACGCTCATCATCATCTTTCACGAATGCAGATTTTGGGTTTACCTGTTTCAATAATTAGCCTTGTTCTTGGAGACCAGTACCAGTGCCAGCTTGATCTTGCGGGGCAGCCTCGGCCCCAGGTGGAGCACAACTCACATTGAGCAACGACTCAACAACCTGGTCTAGGGAGATGTATTAGTATACAGTACTATATAGAGAAGGGTAAAGCTCACTTCTTCCTTCCCGGGCAGCCTCGTGCAGGGCGAACTTCTGATCGGAATCCATGACGACTTTGGAGGATGGAGAGGGATGTTGCGATAAGAGCTGCGATAAGGCGGCTGAGTCCGCAATATTGAAGCCCCGGAGTCCCGAGGTCAGACTGGAACAATTGTCAACCAGCTCAATGGATTTATTTCTGGGGAAGATGAAGATCTAGGGATCAAGAGAGCTGGTAGAAAGATACACAGAATATTTACAATTGCGCTGACGTTTTGTAGCTCCACGTGAGGTACGAAATCTAGCCTAAGTCATTGCATTTGTACATTTTATATCGGGTTCATATACAAAAGGTACATACGGTGTAGTGAAGTCAGATATGCACGGATATCATTGAGCATTATAATTTCAATAACACATGAGCTGCTATACCCCTTACACGAAGCGGAGGCTCTATTTTAGCCTTAATTTCTTAGAGAGAATTCCTTTAAATTACACTGTGCATACTGCCATCAATGGGGAGTATGTCCAGGGGTATGTCGTATATCTCAGAATAGGTCAGCTGATGAAGGAAGAAAGATATCAGAGCAAGAATCCATACATTTCCTTAAAAAAAGTCTACAATGTATGTAGCTAACGGATCACTGGAGTCTAGTCCTATACTACCACGCACCGCCCACCGCCTTTCAACTTTACCGCCATTTTTGGGCCGGGTATAATGTTGGTCAATTATGGCGCCTCAGGCACGAACACCCGCTGCAACTTCGATCCAAAGATTCATGCACAGTCGGTGTACCATCTTCAACCATATCTTGTCTCGCAGCTGCTAGGGACGCAGCCTTGGTCTTCAATTCACCGAGCTTTTAAGACCGGTGCCTAGACTGAACCTCCGGACTCGATTGCATCACGAACCTGCCACAGGCTTTTTTCACTGCGCGCACCATCGGATCGTGATTATTTGGAGCTCCTGTCCTCCAAAGCACATCAACTTATCCCAATCTCCCCACACTACTTCCTTGCGCACACAAAATGGACTACACACCCCAACCCGTCGATGAGGCCGTGCGCATGTCCACAAAGCGGACCGCCGAACTCTTCGGTACCGATTACCTGATGGGCACACCTTCAACTCTCACAGATGGCTCCATCGGCGTTTCCTACCGACGGAAGGCGGAGTACGAAGATATTACCGAGCTACCACGAGCTCTCGCAGAGAAACAGGCGAAGGCTACCGTCGGCCGGACAAAACGGCCGAAGATTCAGGCGCAGACGCCCGCAGACGGCAGTGGCTCATCCATGTCACTTGTGAGGCGGCCATCAGGAACCGGAGCTGGTGGGGGAGCAGCTTCTGCTGGGGAACAACCTACGAGTTTGATCCAGAGACCGTCGGCCACCAAGCAACAGCGGCCCGAGTGGCACGCGCCTTGGAAGCTTATGCGCGTTATTTCGGGACATCTGGGATGGGTGCGGGCTTTGGCAGTGGAACCCAACAACCAGTGGTTTGCTAGTGGAGCAGGAGATCGGACAATCAAGATTTGGAATCTGGCGACGGGCGCATTGCGACTCACTCTCACCGGTCACATCTCCACCGTCCGTGGCTTAGCAGTGTCACCCCGGCATCCGTACCTTTTCTCGTGCGGTGAGGATAAGATGGTCAAGTGTTGGGATCTGGAGACCAACAAGGTCATTCGACACTACCACGGTCATCTCAGCGGTGTGTACACTCTCGCTCTTCACCCTCGTCTCGATCTGTTAGTCACCGGTGGTCGTGACGGCGTGTGCCGAGTCTGGGATATGCGGACGCGAAGCAACGTACACGTTCTCGGTGGACACAAGGGCACTGTTGCCGACATCAAGTGCCAAGACGCTGACCCTCAGATTATCTCCGGCTCTCTGGACTCCACAGTCCGGTTGTGGGATCTGGCCGCTGGAAAGAGCATGGGCGTTCTGACACACCACAAGAAGGGTGTTCGCAACATCGCCATCCACCCCACCGAGTTTACATTTGCCAGTGCCAGTACCGGCAGCATCAAGCAGTGGATGTGCCCCAAGGGTGATTTCATGCAAAACTTCGACGGTCAGAATTCTGTCATCAACTCTTTAGCCGTCAACGACGAGAACGTTCTCTTCTCCGGCGGTGATAACGGTTCCATGTCCTTCTGGGATTGGAAGACTGGTCACCGCTTCCAATCTATGGAAACAACCGCACAGCCCGGTTCTCTTGAAGCCGAAGCCGGTATCATGGCTTCTACATTTGATCGCACTGGTTTGCGTCTTATCACAGGCGAAGCTGATAAGACCATCAAGATCTGGAAGCAGGACGAAGAGGCTACCCCCGAGACTCACCCTCTGACTTGGGCCCCGACTCTCGGTAGACAGCGGTACTAGAGGGATGACCAGCATCACTGGCATTCGTACCCTCTGTTCCAATTTCTCAATACCCTGTATTCATTTTCTTTCTTGCCATCAAGTTCTTGGTGGCACTATGTGGAGTTAAGCGTGGTCTGTGGAAGGCCCTTGATTTTAAAGTATTCAAACATGTATCGGGAAAAGTTTCCTTGGAAAGGTTCGTTCCATGTCTCCGAAACAAGAGTCTTTAACGTTCTGTATGATACAAAGCCCAATTGAGCCAAATGATACCCTTGGGAATCGACCAAATGGACAACACGTACAAGTAGCCTATATGATTTATGTAGAGCGCAGAACACAGCAGGACTGAAAGGGTATCATATGCAAACTATTGTGCGATATTACACTAACTCCATCTAATGCGTACCGTATCAAAACACCCCCCAAAAAACCCTCACCCTCACTGCTCAATACCCAAACCAAAGCCCTTAGCCTCAGCATCCTCCCTGAAAGCAGACCTGACATCTTCCGCCGCAACCCTGAGCCGAACTTTACTACTGCGGTCGCCGCGAGTGGGGATCGTAGTACCACCAAGCACGCTCTTAGAGCCAGAGCCTTGCTCCAGCGCCAGAACACCCGAGTTCATGAGTAACATGGCCGCATGGCCCAGGCTCCGCACGCGAGCGCTGGGGCCTCCACCCAGTAAGAAATCCTTCACGCCGGCGCCGGCGGCTCCAGCAACGGCGACAGCTGCATCAGCGATACGGCGGGCTTCGTCGAGGACGTCGCCAAATGTAGATTCTGAAATTCCTGTCCGGTGGACGCGGGCCAGTAGGGCGGCGAGGAAGAGCTTTCCTGATAGCGGGAGACAGCGCAAGGACTGTTGGAGTGGAGTTGATGTAGCTTCGTGAATGGCTTGCTTGATAGTGGCGATAGTGACTCGGCCCGGTTGGCCTTTCGTAGGAGGTTTAGCGACAGCTGATTCCCCGGCTGCTTTGGCTGTGTTGCGTCGGGCGGGAGTTTTGCTGGGCGTGGGAGGCAATGATTCTGTCTCGTCTTTGGCCTCATCTGCAGCAGCAGCTTCGTCGGCTGCTTGCTCGGCGATTTCAACGGCTCGACGGCAGATGTCCAAAGCTCGTCGAGCATCACCGCTGACGGCGGCTACTTTGCGACTTGCGAATTGGACGGCGTCTGGGTCAACGATATTGCCCGGTACACTGGCGAGACGGGTACTGATGATCTCCATCAGATCTGTGTGACGGTATCCCGGGAATGTGATACGGGTTAAACCGAGACGACTGGAGATCTTGTTGCTTAGGGTTCTTTCGGGAAGATCCATGGTATTTGCGACAGCCAGGACAATGAGGCGGGAGTGGCGAAGCGCAGGCCAGTTGAAGAAGTTATACATGACAGACTGATTCTTCGTGACAAGCTGATCCAATTCGTCCATGAGCACAACACAAGACACCCGACGAGGGGAGGGATTTGAGAATTCTCTTTCGAGAAGATCCAATGCGTGAGAAGGTGATACTCGGTCGCCCTTCAAGGCTTCCCATAGTAAGGAGTAGGATTGATGCGGATCGGTGACTTTCATGCCGTTAATCTCGACAAAGATGAAATCGTCCATCTCTTCTTCGTGCACGGCGCCGTTTAGCTGTGCAACCACCTCACGCACCGTGGCAGTCTTGCCAGTGCCTGGGGTACCGGAGATATAGATACAAGCGCCTGTGCCTTCCATGATCGCAGCGCTAAGATGATTGTATACAGTGTTGAACTCGGTCTTGCGGCACGGTAATGAGTCCGGAACAGTGGAAACGTGTAGCAAATTCCGAGCTTGACGGTAAGGAGAGTCAAAATGCGTGGGCGATAGGACACGGGTACCCAGAGGAGTAAATTCAAGTGGCTTTTTCACGACGATCCTGATACAGTTAGTTTTGTTTTATGAGGACGGTTTTCGCCATTTCCTACCGTTTATGGGTCGGAGTCATCAGGGCCTTCTTGCGCTGTGATTGTGGCGTGGCATTCGTTGCTGCTAGTCGCTGCCTCTTTCTCGGGGTCGCCGGCACAATTGTCTCTTTGGTCTCTTTGGTATCGACATACTATGATGGTCCAAGTCAGCACTGCTTTTGCAATTGAAACCATGTGGTTCAACTCACTTCATCGTCCGCGGCCTTGCGTTTTCTGGAAGCCTTCAAGCCATCTCTGACCCAATCGATCAGATGTTGGATGTTGTCTTCATTGTACATTTGCTCCCAAACAAACTCATCGGTATACCGACCTTGAACCTGGTTCACACCTCGTCGACAAACAATACACTTGTTGTATTCCGCCAACTCGGTTTTGTTCTTGGGAGGACCATTCGGATATTTGGCACTGAAGGCGCTCTCAGACATGACCGTCCCTTTGCCACTGATTGATGTCAAGGGGTTGCTGTTGAAATCGAGTGTGATGTATTGCTCGTTGGCTAAGGCGTCGGTCCGGCGCTTGTTCCTCGTGCCCATGAATTCGTCGGGGGATGCGAACCACATGATATTGGCGGATTTGACAATCTCATCTTCTTCATCTTCGTCCTCCTCTTCCAGGAATTCCGTAATGATGCCAACCCAGTCCTTTCCAGCTTCGGGGGATTTCAAGAGAATCACATCGCCCACTTTGCAATGGAATTGACCCATCCGTGCACCAATGATTTTGCGTTTTTGGCGGGCGGGACGGGAAGATCGTCTTCGGCTACGTTTTGCGGGGGTTTCATTGTTGGCCTTGGTTTCCTGGGTAGTCTCTTCATTTGTATCGTAAATCCAGTGCCACGGAAGGTCCTCGACGCCTAGTTCATCATCGGAATCGTCTCGAACCAGAGCTCCCTTGGTCATCCATTGGGCGCGCTCGCGGGCAGTGCGCCTCTGCGAAGAGTCTGAATCGCTATCGCTCATTGGGGGTGTGAGATGTGGCCGGACAGAACGTCAACGGAGAAGGAGAAATCGCGCTCGACGCGTTGTCCACTTTCGTCCCTTTTAGGCTTAGTTCAGCAAGGAGGTCTGGCCAATCAAATCCATGAACATCATAGTTAGACATGAAGCACATTCCAGGGTAGGTATAAACTATATATGTACAAAATACTCTCAACTGATCCTATATACGCGAATTAAACCTGTAAATCTACTTCAGGTTTTGCCCCAAAGACATCACCTAAAGTTACAGTATCATTGTTAAACTATCAGCACCTTGCCGTCTCAGTGCCACCATGTTGCTTGTTATGAATTGAACCTGCTCGTCTAATTTATGCCTCATAAATCTTTGCTATGGTAAGCGTCCACTGGAGCCCATCTGTATAACATGGTATACTGTGTTCCGCTCGTTGTGCTCCCTTCAACATGGCATTTTTCTTCCCTACTAACGCCCTGAACAATTCCAAAACATTCCAAAGTCCAAAGAGTTAGCCGTGAGCTAGAGTTATGGTGCCAGTTCCCCGATTGAATGTGATGATTGAAACACTGTAATTCACCGAACACTTGCCAGATGCTTCAACTTTATACGATCCGGATATATCGGAACAGCTAAATTCCGCAACCCTAACATCCAAGTACATATAAAATCTATATCCTTCCTACTGGGTTTGTTTTAAGTCGATTTCTCACTATGCAAGAGCCATATCACACCAATCTACCATGATATCTAGTATTCCTCTTTTATGCTCCACAGTAAAACCATTACTACAACAACGATGATGATTGCGGGAATATTCATTATTGGGTATCTTGATCCGTCAATATCTTCTCATTGTACGGATAAAGTCGACTAGTTCGATGTGCTTTATGGCTATACACACCTTGGAAATCTCCACTAAATGCATGCATACTATGTTATCAGTAACCACAGTTCCACCTAGGCAATGGACTAATACTCTTACTCTTTGATAACTTCCTTGGATAAGAAGTGACACTTCGGTCTTACCTTCTCTTTCCCGGTTCTCACCTTCCCTGACGCATTGTCTTATCCATCATTCATCCTTACAAATTACCTATCGTTCATCTTTCTGTTACTTCCCGAGGTCGCCTGCTCATTTGGTCGCCCCCGGCGATCGAATTTCCCTCAGATACATCGCACTTTGATCGACAAGAAGCGGTTGAGATCTGTTCCTTTCTTTCACTTGCCTGTTGATTATCTCTGAAATAACTGTGTCTCTCCCGTCAACTTCGTTCATTCCAAACAATATTTGCTGTGAGACACCGCTCTAGTCATCGAACACCCGTGTCTATCTAATTCCGTTGAAATGGCGTCTGTACCCCAGTCCCACGAGGAGTAAGTGTATCTCGCGCACGAATATTTGCAAGTATATTATCAACTAATCAATGCCGCTAGCTGGGAGCGCCTCAATGCCAAATGTGAGAGATCGTTTTCTTTGAATTATGGTTGTAGATACTGACTCCGATAGCATGGGAGCTACCGAACTACGGCCCCGGTCCAGATTTTGGCCGAAGCATAATCTACCGCCAGGACAATCATGAGCACGCGAAAAATAAAGGTCCTAATTATGATGATGATTTTGACCTCGAAGAGGATGGTTCTCTCGAGGGTACGAAGTATGACTGCCCCCCCGTTGACTATCCGACGCAGCCTTCAAGTTCAACAGCCCCCGTAACTGGTCGATCCCTCTCAAGAGTACCTTCTGTACCCTCGCGATCACGAATTCCAAATCAAAGTGTCTTTCTAGCCCAGCCGGTTATAAAACCCAGACCAGGTCGAGCTCAGACACCAGAGGGACCAATCCTCAATGAGCGTGGGCCTAATACCAGCAGTTCCGATTCATTCGCACGACCGAAATATTCGGCACGTAATGTCAAATCTGGTCAGCGTACGCCTCACAGGACGGGATATAATAACACACCACGGCCACAGTTTCAGCCCAAAAAAGGCAGTGGTACTTCGACTCCTTCGCAACACAGAGCTAGGAACCCACCTACCGGGCCAGGGCAAAGTGACTCTCATTCCAAGGCAAGATGGCGCAAGGGTTTAGCCCCAGATGGTAAGTGTGCTCACTCCAACCTCAAGTTCACCATTAACAGTCAAATAGCTTCCTTTCGTTTGCCCTATGAGTGTCAAGTGTTCCAAGAAAAGTGAGTATATAAAGCTTTGCTGTCGTTGATCTTAGAACTAACCCAGGCACTGAAGGATTAGACAAGTAACTACGGGGGAAGCTTCCAACATTGACTTCCGCCAGAGAGTTATCGAGGATACAGGTGCCTACGTGAGGATGAGCTCAGGAAATGCCAAAGTCAGTTGCCAGCTAAGATCCCCCAATATTTCACGGACTCCGTATACTAACAACCCTAAAGCTCGTTCACATCTGGGGCCGGCAAAAAGAGCTTTTGGAGGCCCAGAATATGCTTCAGGATATGTTGAATCGGTTGATGCGGCAGCGGACCCCGCCTAAAGCATCGCGTTGGACCAAGGTACACGCGCATTCAAATACGAAGGTTGCTAATGCCCGCTCGAAGGAAAGCTTCGAGGAAAAATTGTCTGAGATGCGAAAGCCGCCGAAAATCGCCAGGGATTACACGGTATAGATAACACCCTGACAGGACTAGTTCCGTATTTCAGGAGACTAACCATTGGCACTACAGCTTGCTTTCCTCTGGCCTGCGGATGGCCCCTCGCTGAACTACTTTGTTACTGCCCGGCGCGAGGTCCTTGATTACATTCGCTTGAAATATGACGTGAACATCTACATCAGGCCTGGTATCCCAGACTGCCTATTCATGTCTGGAAATCATGAGCGGGATATGCACATCATTGCATCTCGATTCCGAGAGCTGTGGGAGAGGCTAATGGTCCAGCAAGAGACTGAAATCAAGATGCTCCTTTACGCGGCGCCCCGGGTGGAGCTCATGAGAACTCACGTCATCCTGCAAAAGTCTAGTGGGCTCTCTAGACCTGCTCTCTGCGGACCGGAACTGGCCCCGGAAGTAGCCGCGACCTGGAATACCACTGCGGAGGAGATCAAGCTCAACAACAAGATTACTGTCACCACACGCCTTAGGCAAGCACTGCATGTGATTCCCCAGTTTCGGGGATTCCTGCAAATGCGAGCAAAGTTCGGTTCGTTCGTACTGCAACGGTGGCGGAAGCCAAAGGATGGCATCTCTTATGAATTCTCAGAGTTTCGCGAGATGCTTACCCATACGAACACTGAAGGACGTTTGCTCCCTGGGTATGTCATCACAACCGCCGGTATCCGATGGTTTACCGACTAACTTATCTTTTAGAATCGGGCTGCAGCAAGATGAGATCCTTGAGAGAATCATGAAATCAAAATTCCTGAAGCCCTGGGGCAAAGCCCAAATCACGTCCCTACCGACGCTGATGCCTAGATATTCCGCCAACTTTGAGTACCAAGTGAACAATGATTCAATGATTCGCGTGGAAGCGAAATTTTCTCTCCCCCTTGGCTCGCAGGAGTTTGAAGTCAACGGAATCCGTTGTTACAAATCGAAACAGATCGGTGCTCCTGTTGATCGTCAGATGCCAATGCAGATCAGCATGATTGACTTTGAAAGGTTTGTTTACCCTATGTCCTTTGAAAAATATATTGGAAGCTGAGTTTGAATTTAGGTCCGACTGGCAACTTGAAGTGAAGGCCCTTGAACTCTGCCCTGAGAAGGAGATGACCCCCGAGCTAGACAGATTCATGCGTTCTATCGGCTTCCAATGGAACCTAAATGTAAAGAGCATTGCATCTGCCCCCCAGCGCAAGGCGGGGTTCTCCTATGGTTCTCCAGTCAAGCGCTTCGTCGAGAAAGCCGCAATTCAGCTCCAAGTCAAGGACTCGCCGCATGTATTCGAGCTCGCCCGCTTCGACGAATACACGTACGCGGCTGGCCACTGGTCGATGACCCCCAAAGTGTCCTGGGGTGCATCGCTGTTCAATCCTAGTTGGGACGATATACTGGGTGAACAGGTTGAAGTCAGTGCCGACGATATTTCCAAAAATGGGTGCCTTTCGGTGTTCTTCCCCCGGCCGGGGGATGATCAAGAACAGACAGATAACGAAAAGGAGAAAACGGACGATGAGGTTCGCAAGGAGGCCGAGATTCGAAAGATGGACGAGGAGGAGCAACTGGGCCTTTTCATGAGCACTGTTCAGAAGGTCGCGCGGATGCTGGGGAATCCCGGCGGTGAGATGTCCGATATCCTTGAGACTGATCTTGGAAGTCTGTTCTAGCTGATGTCAGAAGAATCGTGCCAAGCTGTCAGATCTCGGACGACAATGGCCAAGTTAAGGGAAAAAAAAAAAAACCCCCCAAAACAGAAGGAAAACGACAAAAATGACTCCAAAAGAAAAAAAAAGAAAACAAAAAACAAAAACAAATGTCACTACCGTCCGGCTTGCTTATCAAACCGAGATGATTAGGTATGTAGTAATAACACGTTCAATTCATATTTGAAGTTATTCCTGGTGTCCAGTGTCGGATAACCCCTTCAGTTTTGGATTCGTGTCCTTTCTTCTCGTTCTTCTTATACTTCCTATCCAGTTTGCTTCCAAAATGGTGAGATATAACCTTTGTATGAGTTTTCGATTTGTCTATGGCGAGTCATGTTGGCCTATTCGTACCACCTGGGTCGAGTTTAGCCCGCAGGGGCCTGAGGAGCACCCTCGGCAAGCATCTTCTGCCTCAATGCTGTAGGAGAGAGGTTAGCAAATGAAAAAAATAGGGCCTCGTACGGCAATAGAAATCCAGCCTCTTATTATCCAAGAAAGAAAGAAAGGGACCAACTCACTCTCTTCCACAACACGCAGTTGCGAGCTCTTGGTCTGTACGATCTTCTCCAATTCCTGCAAGTTTGCCTCCAAGCCCTTGACCTTTTCATCATAGAATGCAATCGCCTTAGGCGCAGTCTGCGGGAAAAAAACAAACCGTCAGCCCCAATCACCGATATTCCTAGAAATATCCCCGCCGTTACATACCTTCTCAACATAAAATCCAGTTCCGACATCAACAAGCACCTTCTCGCGATCCGTCAACCGGCCCTTGACGTACAGCGAGCTGGTAAGGGGTACGAGAATCTCATTTCGGCCATCGGTTCCCTTCTTCTCATTTCCAGTCACGCCATCATTGATCGAGCGCACACAGTCGCGGAACTTGGCTTGGGCGGCGCGCAACTTTGTGTGCGAGGTGGTCAGGTGTTCGAGTTCGGAGGTGAGGCGGGTTTGGAGAGCGCGGAGCTGAGGGACGGAGAGAGAGGCGAGGTTGACTAGTTCCAGGTTGTTAGCTAGGATTTATTTCCATATGGCACGAAGAGCCGGATGCGCAGTGTCATCTTGGTGTTGGGCGGATTGGAGACACACTTTGGCCTTGGGGAGCTCCGTCTGAGGGGGCGTTTTGCGACATATCGGGATTAAGGAGGAAGAATGGGGTATTTGGAGAATTGATTTTGTTATTGTAGATCACGTCGCATTGGGACTGTATAGGGACTGTATAGGTGGTGGGGGGAGCTTCAGAAAACTGCTGGGTCGTAGGCGTGGCGATAGTGGGGTTAGGTGTGGGCGGGCGGAATAGTGGCGGGTTGTGTTTATACACACGCACCTAGCTACTTTAACTTATCTCTTTAACAAAAACTCAAGTCTTAGGCTTATAGCCCCCATAGTGCTTGGAGCACCTAATTTGTTAAAAGGAAGCTGTCGGCACTATTATCCATCACGACAAATCCCTTACATTCAAGTAGAATGTCATTTGCGGGGAAATTCACATCACTCCGATGACCGTGTTCTCCGCTCCGCTCCGAAATCCTTCCTGATTACATATATCAATGGCTTCGAGACTCGCAGCGTGTGAAGCCTGCCGAAAAGCAAAAGTCGCCTGTGATCATAAGCGACCGGCATGTACTCGGTGTACAAGTAATGATAGAGCTGGAATCTGCATTTACCGAACCACCCCCTTTAAGAGAAGAAGAGTAGAGAGCTCTACATCTTCACAGTCTCCCAGGTATGTGATTCATCTAATTATCTTCTTATTCTTACATACTTATCGGCTCTGTAGTCGGCTACCCCCAGCTCAACCATCCTTTACTCCAAGGAATAACCCCTATCCAAACCCCGGCTTTCTAGGATCCTCTAGCCATGTCGCTATCTTCAACGAAATTTCCCCGCAAGACTATCATGCATCGGGTACCTACCATCCTTCCGAGGACATGACGATGCTGATGCAGTCACAGTCTACCGGCGAGAATATCTTGCTAATACAAGGCGCGGATATTCTCAGACAGCTGTTAAACACATTTCCACTAGCCGCCATGAAGGACTTTGTTACTTTTTGGCTGGCAACGGGGGCGAATCTAGCTCTGGCAGAGCATTTTACGGAGAAGTGTACTGAAAACATGACGCATCTATTCACGTCCTTCTCAGAAGAAGACAATTGGCATCTGGCATATGCTCAGCGTCTAACACAAAATTCCCGGGAACCTTTGCTGTTTAGTAGCACATCCGATACAGAATCTTTCTCTGCTCAGTTCCTCGACCAGAAATTCCGCTGGGAAAGTTTAGGTATCTTTCTCTCTGCTGTGACCCGAGCCTCAATCGATATATCATTTTTTCCGCCATTGTTCAAAACTGAAAAGGACCAGTTTATGCTTCGGAAGCTATCTACAAAGCTCAGTGATTTTGCGTTAGATATTGCGCTCTCGCTGGATTGTTTGAATGACCTTCAGCTGGTTCTGCAGTATGAGAACTTTATTGTACACACCCATGTTGATGGGGACCAAAGTAAGAATTCTCCTTTAATTTTGGCTGTAGAAACTCTCAGCTCATTGAAAAATTCAGGCTATCATTCGTGGAGTAGACTTGGCGATGTTGTCTCGTCCATGTTTGCACTTGGTTACCATGAGAATGTCGAAAAGACCAAGCCACCGATTCCGACCTTTCTTGCGGAATTGCGAAAGACCGCATGGGCCACCACATACTCAGCAGACAAGAACGTAGCTATATTCCTTGGTCGGCCACCTCGGATGAGCAAACGGTTCTGTCATTTCCAACTGCCTTTAACCCCGACAAGCTCGGATCAGGTTTCGAACACTTCACACGTTGAAGACGAGGTCGTCAGATGGAAAGCGGATACACCGGTCTGTTATAGGTCAGGTATTCGGTGGGCGACCCTTTGCGCCGCACTGAAAGAAGATGTCCTCGAATTGCTCCGATCTAAGCAACACGTAAATTTCAATCACAAAGCTAGGTAAGTTGGAGCTCTATAAACCGGAGAGGTGGGATCGCTGGCTTATAATACTATAGTATGATCCGGCAAAAAGCTGAAACTCAATGGGCAAACCTACCCCCTCGCTTTCGACTTTCAACCACTCTGAAAGAATGCTCTGGGGATTCATTCGAGCGTGCTTTTCTGGCTAGCATACGCCTGGACCAATTACATGTTCTCTTTCTACTTCAATTGTTGTTTCTCGATACCCTGACCGAGCCCGATCCATCTATACTCGACATCTCGGATCAAATGCTCGCTCTAGTGGTGGAAACAATTCTTTTACGAGATCAACTGGTCAACTCTGGAACGGGACTTGTTTGGAAGGTATTTCTATCCACATCTAATATTTGAACATTTTATTACTCGACTAACACCATACTAGATCGCCCACTATGGCCTCCCAGCAGCAGGGATTATCCTCCTTTCAATGCTGAAACAACACCGCACATTAACCGAGGGAAGATCCTCCTGGTCCAAGACAATACTCAATCTCGGTATCTTTGTTGCGCAGGTTCAGGTGGGGAGCATTGTTCGACGTGGAGATCCAAACTACGCCTTGATATCCAAAGCCACCCAAACGATTGAGAGATTCCTTGATTCTATACACCGTGAAGGGATACACACCCCGGCACAGCTGCCATCACATCCGGGGGAGAACGGTGATTGGGCTGCATTTTTCAGCCAGGATCTGTGTGATTTCGAGACTGACTTTTGGGAGAACCTTGCATACCATCCCTCTTTGTTGGCTTCGGACCATAGTTTGCCTCCAATATAGTGAATGAACATATTAATATACAGGAAGAATATATGGCGGAACTATTGATTGCCCACGTTAGGATTGAAACGAACGATGTCTCTATGTATAACATGTGATATACTCTAAAGCGTTGACTATCAAATATCTACTGAGATTCACCATCGGATAGTTATGGAACTTTTCGAACTACCCGTGGATACATCCACATAGGGACCAGGTCTTCATCTGTACTTATAATTATTTGACCAATACAAGTGACGAAGTATAGCAGAAAGAAGAATGATAGGGTGCAAGATCTCTGGATTTGTGACTATGGAATACATAGGAAATTGTTTATATATGACAATCTACATGCAAAACACAGGTAAATTCAGGGGAATTAGGTGGTCCAGAGATTCCACGGGTAGCCTGCATATCCAGGCCAGTTGGCAATGTGATATTAGATACTCCGTGCACTATACAGGAGCTGCATTGTATCGCGCATAGATGGCGGGATCCTGCATCTAAGAATTATTTAATAACACATAGGAAGTAAGTAAGGGGGGATATTCGCTATATTAAAAAATCGAATCTTGACAATAAAAAACTGCTGTCTATTACGCAATCAAGTAACATATCAAATATAAACCTAATGATGCCAGAGTCTGGCATTGTCTATGTATCATAATCACCTTTGGTATTGCCCCTTCTCCTTTTCCTTGTATGTTATACTCCCGACATATACAGAGTACCTAGGATTCTGTAAAATCGCAATAGATTGGATCACCCACATGTCCCCGAACCCTTCTAGAGTTTCCCTTACTCATCATCCTCTTCATCATTCTCATCTTCATCCTCGTCCTCATCGTCATCGTCGTCCTCGTCTTCGTCGTCGTCATCTTCATCTTCATCTTCATCTTCATCCTCCTCGTCATCCTCATTATCCTCATTCTCATCTTTAGACTCCTCCTCAAACTTAGCCTTAGGCTGAAGCCCAAACTCATTCTCACTGCCATGCTGTTTGTCACTCCCACTACCTTCATCCTCCTCGGGAGTCTCCCCCCCATCCTTCATTTCAACATCTGAGATATCTGCCCGCCCTGCATCAGGAGTTCTGCGGCCAAAAACAGCGAGATAATCTCGCATCTTAGCACCCCATGCCTTAGGCTCTGGTTCATCAGGCTTATTCGCAACCTTGTAAGGCTTATGACCGTCACGCATCCGGATATCGCCACCAGCGTCCATGCTTCGCTGACTCTTGTCTGAATCCGAGCCACTTAGATTGGTAAGGGTTGTCCATTCAGTCTTACCTTTTGACGTATGAGCGGTGCGTGCTTTCTTATTTTGTGGTGGGGGAGCCTGTCCGGCCGCTTGGGTATCCATATTCCGCTTGCAATTAGCGCTTTTGATATAGGTTTGCAAAGTATCCGGCACCATACCAGGCATAGGTGGGGCTGCCATTGCAGAGGGCACATCGTAGCGCCCTGGTACATATCCAGCTACAGAGCCAGGGACGAATTGTCCAGGGTCAGCTGGAGGGTTAATTTTCGGAACATCTGTACGGCGAATTCCAGTGAAAGCTGGAGGGGGAGTTCCGGGGAGAACTGCAGGGACGACTCGAGGGGTAGGTGCAGGAGCAGGGAGACGGGAAAGGGGAAGAAGGCGCCGAGATGAGTGTGGAGAAGACTCTAGTGGAGATACGAAAGGAATCTTTGCAATGATAGGATCATCAGGTACAATGAAAGGGATGGTAGGAGAAAGAGGAGGGAGAGGAGGAATAGTGACAGGATCAGGAGAAGGAATAGTAGGGGAAATATAAGGAAGAGGAGGAGTAGGAGCAGGAGCAAAAGCAGGAGCTGGGTCACGAGGAGCACGAGGAGGAAAAATTGGACCCCGAAGAGGAGTAGGAGCAGGAGCTATAGCGGGAGGCGCAGGAGCAAGGGCACGGAGAGTAGCAGGTTTAGGAGGAGCTGTACTCTTACGAAGCCTACTTTTATCAGGCCGACTAGGGACAGGAACAGGATTCTTAGCAGCTATCCCTTTAGCAGCTACAACAGCAGCCATCCTATTAGAGGGAGGAGCAAGAGCAGGACCATCAGCATCAAGATAATAAATAGGATAAGCAGGGTCGGTGACTCTCCATGCAGGGTCAGTGAAGCGGTAAAATCGAAGAACATCCCACAAACGCTCATTAAGCTCGACTGGATCTGGGACATGAGCAAGAACTGAAGCTGGCAACTCGGAATGCCTAGCGGTGAATCTACCTTTGATATCAGCTGTCTTCTTACCATTGAACATTTTCTTCCAGTCAGTTCCCCAGCTAAGAGCATTGTGCAACAGAGGATTGTAGATCTCTCGAATCAAGTTGAGAACGGCCCGTTGATCTTGGGGGTTCGTGTCAATATCGATACCAATTGCTGCGAAGATACGATCAACATTCCCAGGGGGCACATTGTTTCTGATCTCGAAGGTGACTCGAGACATGTTGAGAGATGCTGTGACTGTTAGACTGTTAACTTGCTGGATTGGATTGTTGAATTGTTGAATTGCATTATTGAAAATCATGATATTTTGGTGGAATTCGTTGACTGCTAAATACTCGAGAAGCTCTTTGTGACTTGAGGTTATTTCAAGCATGCCCTATGTATTTTGGGAGGCACAAAGAGAGACATTATATTCTAAGGATACCCTTTTAGAACAAAACGATGCATTGTTGAGATACTCGGCAAATGTAAACAAGGCCTTTACCTATGAACTAATTAAAGATATTGCTTTCAAGCTATTGTTTCTTGTCATATAGTAACAAAGAAAGATAATGGAAGTGCTCAAGAATAACTTGAACTCCTAGTTAGAAAGAAAAGGAAGCAATTGTTAAGCAAAGACACGAAGTTCATCTTTGTCTTTCGCCATGTTAATTCATGAATAGCATATGCACAAACAAAATGATATTTCCCAAAGAGGACTCCAAAGCTGAGACATCTTTTGTACATCAAGTTTGATTATTAGCTACCTAAACAACTTGACGGATGATTGAATACGATTTATTGAGAAGTAACTGAGGTCATGATAAAGTTGCCATTTAGTCCACTTGTGGAGCATCTGGACCTCGGGAACCCTGTTGGAATATCCATGGCATAGATGATTAGGTAATGTCTTGAGCCTTCCAAGGTTAGTCTAGCTCTAGGAGAGATTCGTCTACTTAGGAGCTGTATCTTGCGTTCTAAATTCGTCTGGGTGACTGTAACTCACGCTGTATATCCTGATTGGTTTTCCAATCAGCCGGGAAGTCCTTTATAGATGCGGAATCGAAGAGAACACGACTGATCCTGCTTTAGTGTCGAAGAATGACTCGGTTGTTCGGAAGCAGGGAAGCAATCCGTCGTGACTCCACCTCTGGCTTCCGACTATTCTAGCCCAGTCATGGTAGTCGGCTACACCGCCGCGACTCCACCGAAGTTGATTACACCCCTCTCAAGACCTTCGCCCTTCGCGGTGTGGACCTCGTGCACTCGGTTCTCGGTTTCGGGCTGGGGGTGGGTCTTGTAGGTTTAGTCGATATCCCAGTCAAGCAAGAGTTCTGAAAAGGCTTGGAGATTGGTATTTGTGGAGGGTCGATGTCTGCCTCGAGGATCTGGATTGGCGAGATACGGGTTACGTTGCTCAAGGCGCGAGGTAACCACGCACCCTGTCAGCCCACTGCCCATGTGGGCAGTCATAATGGTATGTATCAGCCTTAAATGATACCCGGGTGCTCCATGAAATATTAACAATAGACTCCAGAGAATTTAATCCCTCAGATGATATTTAAACCTTTACGCATGTACTCTGCATATATCTATCACGACCATGCGGCTGATCAAACAAGTCCAAGCGAAATTGCCAGATTTAGTGATTGGGTTCACCCACTTTGGCCCCCACCCCAAAGCCACCCGTAGACGGAATATATCTGATGATGACGGCATTACACGCTCGTCATAGCAGTCGGAAGCAAACGGACTTAGCCGACACGCAAACGGGAAACCAGCCACACATGTAGACTACAAAACACATGTAATATTTGATACATGTAACAGGTCGCATGACTCAAAGGAGGCCAAGGCTTGGCCTCCTAAATGATCATCCTACTTCCCCCGCATGCGCTTTGACGCAGACAATCCACGATGGTAGTTAGTTATTGTCGGATCAGGGGTTGATTATGAAGTACTGATTCGGAGATTTCTCCCTTACATTATTTAGACCCTCAATCTATACACTCTTTTGGTCCATGTCCTGGGCTAATAAATGTTATATTACGATGTCCCGTGGCTCGTGTGCTAGGATCTCTCTTAGGGGCTTAGTGCTGACGGGTGGTATAATATGGCGGTCCTTGGACAAAGCCACTGGTTTACTTTGGGGTTGATCTGCATGAGCTCACCCCCACGGGGAAGTTTGTGCTCTTTTTATATGGGGTAGCCAATCTTCCCCCAAAATTTCTGGGTAAAGTCATCTTCTGATTCTGAAAAGCTACCGGCTCTTTATCATGGATGAAAAAATCAACCCGGCCAACCCCCCTCACTATGAGGAAGTGGTCGATACTAAGAAAGAGGTTCCTAAGAAAGAGCTAGATGAGGCCGACAACCCTGATGCGCCTGAGCGTCGCCAGGCCATCGGTATCAACATTGTTCAGAATCCGTTGATGGTAAGCCTACAGCTGAAATCCATCCATAGTTCATAACCTCGAGAATAATCGCTAACTATCTTTGTGTCTATAGCGCAGCTCCAAAGAGCAAGCCATTATCGATGCCCGAGCCTACGCTGAGTCGCACAATATGGCGGAGTACGCCGACCTATTTGGTCGGGCTGCTGTGGTTGCGCGGAACCCTCAAGACTTCCTGTCAGCTGATGAGCTTGATGACGAGGAGCGCACCGCGCTCGAGTACGAGAGAGACCATAAATGGCACGGCCCGTGGATGCTCTGGTACGCAATTGGTCTGTGTGCTGTTGGAGCTGCCACACAAGGATGGGATCAGACTGGATCCAACGGTGCCAATTTATCCTTCCCGAAGGACTTCGGCATTGACGGTGAAGGCACAGATGAGTGGATCGTGGGAATTGTCAACTCCATCATCTTCTTGACCGCTGGTCTGATGTAAGTATAGTACCAGTGATGTCTTGTCTTCTATGCGGCTGACCTTGGACATAGTGGCGCTTGGATTGTCGATCCACTCAACAAATATCTAGGTCGAAGAGGCGAAATTTTCGTGACTGCTCTCTGTCTCACTGCCACGCCAATTGGCTCTGCCTTTACACGGACATGGCAAGAACTGTTCGCTGCACGGTTTATAATGGGTATTGGTATCGGTGCAAAGAATGCTACCGTGCCCATCTATTCGGCTGAGATGGCCCCAGCTAGAGTTCGAGGTGCTCTTGTTATGTTCTGGCAACTTTGGGTCGTAGCGGGTGACTATTTCTCATCCTTTATCGAAAAACATGGCTAACCTCATGTTCAGGTATTTTCTTGGGCTTTGCCGCCAACGTTATTGTCAAAGACGTCCCAAAGATCGCTTGGCGTCTTCAACTCGGCTCCGCCTTTATTCCATCATTGGTTCTCGCCGTTGGAATCCTTTTCTGTCCTGAGTCTCCTCGCTGGCTTATGAAGCATAATAAGCACGCTGCGGCATTCCAGTCGATGTTGCGCTTGCGAGCTCATCCAATTATCGCTGCGAGAGATTACTATTATTCATACGTTATCTACGAAGAAGAACTCAAGGAAGCTCGGGGCGCAGGTTATTTCTCCCGTCTGTGGGACTGCTTTGCTGTCCCCAGAATCAGACGGGCCAACTATGGTGCCTCGACTGTCATGATTGCGCAGCAAATGTGCGGTATCAACAGTAAGTTGTGCCTCATCTCTTGAGAATGCTTAGTGGTAACAATTCTTTAGTTATCTCCTTCTACAGCTCATCCATCTTCCTGGATGCCAAATTCACACAAGATCAAGCCTTGTATGCGTCTCTTGGCTACGGTGCTATCCAGGTCGTGGCCACCATCCCTACTTTATTCCTGATCGACACCAAAGGCCGAAGAACACTAACTTTGATTGTGAGTTGATCCGAAATTTCTGGCAGAATATTACTGACTATTGTTCTTGCGAAGACATTCCCCTTGATGTGCGTCTTCCTGCTAGCCGCTGGTCTCTCTCTTTTGAACAAGACAGAGAGCCAGGCCGGGATGATTGCACCAGTTGCCTTGTAAGTTTCGTAATGGTTTTCACTTTGTCTGAATGCACGCTGATTGATCTCTTCCACTAGGTTTGTGTATCTGTTTACTATTGCCTACTCCTTAGGGGAAGGACCAGTCGCTTTCCAATACTCTGCTGAGGTATTCCCTACTATTCAGCGAGAACAAGGAATGGCGTGGGCTGTTTGTATCAACAACACCTTTGGTGAGTATTCCAAATATCAAATCCACCGAATATCCCATTAACAAAAAATTTCTTCAGCTGGTATTCTTGGTCTAACCTTCCCTCGAATGAAGAATGTGATGACCCAAACGGGTGCTTGTAAGTTGACACTTCTGGAACGTGGTGTCCAAATCGCTGACCCTTGCATTAGTTGGCTTCTACGCCGGTCTTAACCTCATCGCTTGGGCTATGATTTTCTGCTTTGTCAGGGAGACCAAGCAGCTGACTCTAGAAGAATTGGATCGTAAGTCGAGTCTCCAATCTAGGTACATGACCATATACTGATATATATTGCAGAGGTCTTCGCGGTGCCGACCAAGAGCTTCATTCACCACGAATTGACTGTGTGGCTTCCTTGGTGGTTCAAGCGATATATCTTGAGAAAGAACATTGCCCGGCCACCACCCATCATTGCACTGGGCGATCGGGTCAGATAAATTCTCACAGGGTTCTTTAATGCTGACTATCTTCGGACTGCGACTATTGGATTGATGACTTCTTTTATCACCGGCAACTCGGTATTCTCGTTCTACTACCCATAAGGTAGCCTAATCTACATCGCCGCAATGATTCTGGTTGTTACATATGTAGCTATGCAAAATTCATTTCTCATATACCTCCTGTTCAATCACTTCTTGAGGCAGTGATATCATAAACTATATCAGGTACGTGTAGGTAAACACAGGGGATTTTGGCAGGAGCGACTCGACACTGCTCCAAATTTCCAACCTTCCGAGGTCCAAGACACTTCTCACATCCATTGCATGGGAACATTCTTTGACTTGTATCTTCATATCCATTCCAGCCATGGACCAAACTTATACAGAATGGCGACATTTGATTGACGGCAAAGGTGAAGGGCCAACAAAACCAGAACCTTCGACCTCGCAGATACAGTTCACAGTTCCATCAACTCCGTCCAATACCTCACTGATCCCACATCTTGAAAGTGTTCACCATGTCTTCGCACAAGCACTGAGAGTCGATATACGTCTAATGATTTGGTCAGAGAGTTGGTTCCCAGGGGATGACCGACTAAGCCCCCTGTGGCTCCGGCCTTGGATTAAATTTCCTCAACTTCAAGAAGAGATGTGGAACAAAATCCTCAACGCGCCTGAGCTTGTCAATTCATGTATCTTCCCCCCACAATCCTCCATCCAATACACTGCTCAGCTCGTGAAATGGTACGCGGTGTATTCGGAAGACACTTTGAGGCAATTTGCGCACAGAACCCTGGATGACTTTCTCGCGATAATTGTTAATTCTATGGAACATGAGCTGCCACTACGATATACGTTCAGTACCCGCGGAAAACTGAACTTCGACCGTCCGCGTCATTGTTGCATTTCTGTTGCAAAATGTGGATTCGAAGAGCCAGCGTATGCAGTCCTGTATGTTCCACCATTTTGTCTGACTTTGCCCGAGCTGGTTGCAGGGCTGCGCGCGATATCACCGGTGGATGTCTTCGACAAGGAACCAAATACATTTGAGGAGCATGCCACCGCCATTGTGGTACGTGCAATCGCTAGGATCTATTCAAGAATGATGGGCGCTGGAATCCAGTACGGGTATATCTACACAGGAGAGGCCTTGGTGTTTCTTCACATCGACCCAAAGAACTGTAGCGCTATGGAATATTACCTCTGTGTTCCTGGTCGAGACGTCGCTTCTCATGGTTATGATGCACAATCAAACTGGGTTCGCCGTACTGCTTTGGGTCAAGTCCTCGCTTTCACACTACAATCTTTAGCTACCACCCCACCAACGCAGGAATGGCATGATGCAGTTTATCAAACTTATCGTCCCCTCGAAGACGATTACTCACTCCTCATGCCCCAGGCACCGGATGACATTCGATTCAGCCCACCAGCAGAGTTTATGTATGAGAACTCATTCTGGACTAGATTCTGGGGGAATCTCCTGAAAGCAGACATAAAAACGAGCGGTCCTGAAAACCCTCCTTCACAAACCTCTGGGCCAGACATCTGCAAGCCTTACTGTAGCCAAGCATGCCTCCTCGGCACCTTTGAAAAGGGAGTTCTCGATGAACACTGCCCGAATGTCGCTGAGCACGGCATGGCAAGACATCAGCTCAGCGCACAGGAGATCTGCGACAGGATGAATGAACAACTTCGAGAGAATCGGTATAGAGGCTTTCAGCAGCTGCACATTGTTGGTCGAACCTGTTATCTATTAAAAGCAACTTTGCGGTCTCATGGGTACACAATGATGATCAAGGCAACCGGCACCAGCCAGTCGCGCAGGATCAAAGCTGAATTGAGCAACTATCAGAATCTGAAATCGTTGCAGGGGTCTCAAATTCCTGTATGTCTTGGAATGTTTGAACCCAAGGTCCCATATTGGTATCATGGGGTTCAAATGAACTACATGCTGCTCCTCAGCTGGTCTGGAATTCGAACGGACGAGCATACCACCTTTGAAACGACCCAGTACCTTGAACAAGAGATGCGGAAACTTGAAGATATCCTTCAAGAACATGGAGTTGTTCAGAAAGACGCAGCCTTCCGTAATGTGCTGTGGAATCCCGATCTAGAATGCTTTATGATGATTGACTTGGAAGATATGAAGTGGCTGAAGGGACCTCCACAGGGCTCGAAGGGACGCCGAAACCGTCAAACACAATCCAGCATAGACGCGATCCGGACCAGTAGCTAAACTGGAGAGCTAAATTGGAGGAAAGGACGGGAGAATTCTGTTTTGGCGCTCACAAAAGACTTTGTGAGTAAGAGTTGGTCGAGTTGGAAGACAAGGCACAAAAGACTCTATATTTATTCCCAGCACTATCTTTATTCCGGTGCCGTCTTCCTTATTGCCTGTCCAGTTCCTTGAGTTCTGTATAATATGACTATACCATGAATCAAAACCAGAAGAGTGATCACTCCAAATCAAAATCCTAGTAGACAAATATTAGCACTGATCATTAGTTCACACCGCGAATAAACATACCATATCAAACCAAACACCACCAGCAAAATTCGACTCGCTCTTCCCTTGACTCTTAAACCCAACACTCTCATAAAAGTTCACCAAATAGTCATGCGCAATAAGCACAACCTTGCTCGCTCCAAAACACCCCCTCCCAAGATGCTCAAGGTACGCCTGGACAAGAGCTCTCCCAACCTTCTTGCCCTGATACTCCGGCGAAACAGCAACAGAGTGAATTGCAATGGTATCACCATACTTATGATTCCCGATTAACTCACCATTGACAAAAACAGGCTCGCCATCGAGTGATCGCCAATTCTCCGGCATTGACATCGATCCGTCCGTGACACGCGTATAGGGAGACCGCACAGCAATGACATGTCCAATGAGTGTAGGTGAAGCTGGGTCTTGGTCATTTTCAACAAAGAGGCCCAGACATAGCTCTGGGCATGCTCCCAAGCGATAGCAGAACTTGGTCCATGTTAGAAGAAACAATTGAGACGAAACAACCCTGGCGGGAATTGATTATTCGGCTCAGCTCTGACTCACCTTCTCCTCGGAGCATCGCTCCGCCTCTGTGAATGCTTCTTCGACGGCTACACAGATCTTCACGTCTTCTTTGTTTAGAGTTCGGGTGAAGGCATTGGAGCCGCCGAGGCCTGGGATGTGGATGTTGGTCTGGGCCATGGTGTGATGTTTTAGGTTGTGAGAATAGGTGATAATTGGAAATAAATAAGAATTGAGTCAAGAAGATAGAATCAACATGCCGTTTTAATGAGTCAAAGCCCATTTCTATATCGGCGGGTCCAAGTGAGACAAACCGGAGTATTCGGACCGGAGTGTTCGGCGTGGGAACCCCGTCGAGGACCTTCAAAGTCGATCACTACGCAAAACGTGAAACCCGGAGAAAAAGTGGACATTAAAACACTGAAACATATTGATATGATGCGTTAATTGTAGATTATCAATAGAGCCACATTACATACTTACACCGCTACTATCCACCGTGGCGGATATATCATTCCGAACTTCACGTTATTTACTATAGGAACTCAGCTGTAGTTGAGACAGGGAATATGTAGTTCAAGCTTTTTGCATTGTTGTGGCGTCAGAATTAAGAGGATTAAGAACCAGCCTTGGGAATCATCACACTGGGCTTACATTTATAGGTAGATCGGAGATGAGATAATGTACAAAATTGACTTGCTAATATTACATAGTGTCGCTTCCAGCCATTCACAGTTTCGCCAACAAGGACTCGACAAACGCGCGCAATCCACCAAGCGACACATCCTCCTTCACGCCTAGCTGACGGCACTGCACCTCTAAAGTCTCCTTCTTCTTCCACCCATTGCCAACAACAACAATAATAGGGTACCCGATCAAATCTGCGTCTCCAAGCTTCCAGCCCATACCCTTGTCCCGGTCATCGAGGATAGCATCGACAGGGGCCGCAGCATCGCCGGTAATAGTATCATACACCTGATCCGCAACGGTCTCCAGCCCCTTCCCTGAGACCACCACAACCTCGTAGGGTGCCATCGCACGCGGCCAATTGAGCCCCTTGGAGTCAGAAAGTCGGTTCGCCACTGCAGAGATCATACGCGAGACACCGATGCCATGGCATCCCATCTGCATGGGCACGATTTGTTCCTTGCCCGAGGAGTTCGCACCAGAACCTTCAGATCCCCCAAGAAGAGCGGAGTTGACAGAAACAGAAGCATTGAAGACTTTGCTGTACCGCGTTCCCAAGTGGAATGTGTGTCCTAGTTCTACGGCAGAGTGGCTAGTAAGCGACCCATGCGCGCACTGCGAGCATTGGTCTCCGTCATGCACGCGGACAAGGCTGAGTTTGTTTGTAGTCCCGGGGAATCGGTCCAGCTTAGAGTAATCTATGTCCGAGGCTGTGCAGCCAACTTCCTGGAGAAGATCACTCAGCGGCGGGCGCTGGTATACTCGAACTTGTGAGTCGTATAGATCCAACACACGCGGCTTGTGCGAGGTGGACTTATTTGCCTTTACATGGGCGGTCCATCGCTCTAACGGGTTCTCCACGCTCAAATCGAGGTCAATACCAGCGGCGGTTGCCACCGCCTTGACGGCGTGTGAGTTGACATGACGCTCAACGGGCTCTGTCGCGCCGTCCTGCATCGAGAATTTGGGGTGCCAGCTCCGGACTATGGTGTTGCTATCGTGAGAGATGGCCATCCACATGCCAGTTGAGATTGTTGGCCCACCTTCGATAGGTGCATCATCTATCTGGAAGCCAGGTGCTGTGGTCTGTTCAGACTCCTCAGAGCTATGCGTCTTGCCGTCTGCGAGTTCTTCGTTGTAGACATGACCACAGTGCGAGCAGCTGACTACCTCATCCTCGCCCTTCGGGCTGATGAAGTGGTACTCATGGCTCAGTGAGCCGCCCATATTCCCCGAGTCTGCTGCTGCGACTAGGTAGGGAATCTTGAGTTCGTTGAATAATTCTGTGTAGGCTTTCTTGACTGCATCATATGTTTTCATTGCTTCGGTGACACTGTAGTCGAATGTATAGAGGTCTTTCATGACGAACTCTCGCCCACGAAGTAGGCCCTGTCTGGGCCGGGCTTCATCTCTGTACTTGCGCGCTTCATTATGATTCCGTTAGGGGGTTTACAGACAATAGATGAATAAAGAGTCTCACATATTTGATACACTCGCAAAGGTAGGCTCTTGTATGATGTTGTCAGATTCCCCACAAGTGTTGTAATCTCTTCCTCGTGTGTTGGGGCGAGGAGAAAGGGAGTGTCTTTCCGATCTTTGAATCGGAATAACTAGGATAAATGTTAGTGACATTATGCAAGACATTAGGAAGGGCTAACCTACTTCTGAGCCATCGCTAAGTCTGCCAGACTGTCCCCAGAGCTCTTGCGAGGATATTGAGGACAAAGAGACCTTGGATGCGCCTAAATTTGCTTTAGTTGCCATCCCCTGATAAACACGGGGTATATTCCATACCAAGTGAGCGCATATGCTTGTCAATCAAGCGCTCTACCTTATCTTGAACACGTAGACCAAGTGGGAGCAAATGGAACACTCCAGAGTATGCCTAGAGGGCCGTCAGAGATATTTATTTGGACATAAAGACCTGACTGCTCACCTGTCGAAGAAAGCCACCTCGGACTAGCAGGTCATTGGCATCCTCTAGATCTCCGTTAACATCTGATGATAGTCAATTGCTATCGGGTTTACGCATGGCATACCCTTTTCACCATCAACGGGCTTCTTGGAAATTCCACCAGTAGGAACCCATACATTTGAAACACGGCTTCTGCCATCAACCTAAATCGAGTCAGTACACACAATCAAGCACATTCAATCGATATTTTGTAAGCGCGTACGTGAAGATTGCATTGCTGGATGCGCAGGCTCAACGCTAGCCGCCGCCCGGCTACGCGCCCTGACAGAGGTCGTAGCCCAGAAATCATCGATCAAGATAGTTTAAGGCGTCGAAATCTATTATTTTCGCAATTGAACTGCTGGCTAAACACAAAATAAGTTGTAGAGCAAACCAAGTTGTCCCTTCTCCGGTGTTTCTTATCGCATTGGTCCGAGCGCCCCGATAACCCGCCGCAAAAGATTTCTCCGTCTAATTTTCTTTCCTCTATTATTCAACCCCAATCACAATACACTATGGTTACAGGGAAAGGAAAGCGCTCTTCAGGCACCGCTGAGGCCGCTTCCGCGACGAGCACATCAGCTCCAGCTGCGGAAACTATGCCCTCCATGCCAGACGAGAGCGCCTTCGCGGGCCTACGACAGAAAATCGAACAGCGTTTGAAGACCCAGAATCAGAGCGCCGGGAAAGGCAAGAAGGATAATACCAAGCCACCAGCCCCTACCGCCAATGCTTTCGCAAACAAAGGAAAGCAATATCCCGCCAAGCCCAGCCGTCCTCAGGATTCTGCGCAAGGCAAGAAGCGGGATCGCAGCGGCGAGGTGATTGCTCGGGAGCAGAATAAGGGTGGAATGGACAAGCAAGAAAAGCCTAGATTTGACAAGAAGAGCAACGACGACGAGACACTACGCCAAGAAATTCTAGCTATGGGTGGTACCGAGGAGGATCTTGATCTTCTTGCTGGTGTCGACTCCGAGTCTGAGGTTGAGGGCGAGTCCGGCAAGGTCGACGATGATCTTCGCAAGCAGCTCTCCAGCATGTTGGAGGCTTCAGGGCACGTCGTGCCCGAGGATCTAGCAGATGACGAAGTCGAAGACGTCGAGGAGGAAATAGAAAGCGAGGATGACATCGAGAACAGCGAGGACGAGGCAGAAAGCAGTGGGCCGGAATCTGACATTGAGGAAACCCCTGCTCCGAAGTATGAAGCTACGGTGCCTAAGGAGTATTTGAAGCTGGTAAGTTGTGCACAGTCTAGCACCACAACGCTTTTGCTAACATGATCATTATAGAATGTTCTTCCTCGGTCCGACTGGTACAATATTCCCATGCCATCCTCCGCCAAAGACACGAAACAGATGAACGCCTTACCCCGCCACCTGATGGAGCGCGTTCACGAGCTGGCCAACAAATTGCTACAGGAAGAAAATGAGGAGTATGCGGCAGCCCAGAGAGCATCTGCTTCTTCTTCCCACAAGTTCTACTCGACCATTATGGCGTCTGGTACCCTGAGCGATAAAATTTCCGCCTTGACTCTTAACGTTCAAGAGTCGCCTCTGCACAACACCAAAGCGCTGGAAACTTTGATTGGTCTCGGAAAGAAGCGTAGTCGTGCGCAGGCAGTTGAAGTTCTGCGATCATTGAAGGATATGTTCGCACAGGGTACATTGCTTCCCAGCGACCGACGATTGAAGTCTTTCACTAATCAACCTGGGCTCGTCGCTGCATTCCAAGGCGCCGGTGGGCGGTGGAACGAGAAAGACCCTCTTCCGGGTGGTTTGAAAAAGAGCGAGCTGATTGTGTGGGCCTTTGAAAACTTTGTTAAAGATCAATACTTCGAAGTCATCAAGATCCTCGAGATTTGGTGCAATGACGAGATCGAATTCTCACGTACTCGGGCTGTCAGTTATGTCTACGAACTTCTCAAGGAGAAGCCCGAACAGGAGACCAATCTTCTGCGACTTTTGGTGAATAAGCTCGGAGACCCGGGCAAGAAAATCGCCTCTCGGGCATCATACCTGTTGCTCCAACTTATGCAGTCGCATCCTATGATGAAGCCGATCATCATCAAGTCAGTGGAAGAAGTGCTGTTCCGCCCTGGCCAGAGCACCCACGCCAAGTACTACGCTGTCATCACTCTGAACCAGACCATCTTGAGACTGAAGGAAGAAAAAGTGGCTGCTCAGCTGCTGGATATCTACTTTGGAATGTTCCTCGTGCTTTTGAAGCCCTCCCACCAGGGCAAAGCTGATTCCAACGGGAAGCCCGCTCCCAAGGGGAAATACAACAAGCATGGAAAGGGATCTAAGGGCAAAGGCGACGACGATGCTGCCAAGGGACAGGCCCAGGACGACGAGATGCGGGAGAAGCTGATCTCTGGTGTCTTGACCGGTGTCAACCGTGCTTATCCTTTCACTGACTCTGATTCTGAACGGTATGTATTTGTTCACACTCTATTCCTCCACGCAATGTACTAACTTATCGTAGCATGTCAAAGCACCTCGACACCTTGTTCCGTATCACGCACTCCTCGAACTTCAACACCAGCATTCAAGCTCTTATGCTGATTCAGCAGCTCACCGTGGCTAACAAAGTCTCCGGCGATCGCTTCTACCGCACTCTGTACGAATCCTTGCTCGACCCTCGTGTTGCCACCTCATCAAAGCAATCTCTCTACCTCAACCTCCTATACAAGGCTCTCAAGAATGATCTAAACGTCCGCCGAGTCAAGGCATTCGTGAAGCGTCTTGTTCAGGTACTTGGCATGCACCAGCCCTCTTTCATCTGCGGTGTCTTCTTCATGATTCGTGAGCTCGAGAAGACCTTCACCGGCCTCTCGTCCTTGGTCGATCAGCCAGAGGAGAACGATGATGACGACGAAGAGGTCTTCCGTGACGTCCTCGATGAGGATGACGAACAGCCGGAACCTACTCCTGTTGTCGAAGCCAAGAAGCAGACCAACGTATACGATCCCCGCAAGCGAGACCCCGAGCACAGCAATGCCGAACGGAGCTGCCTTTGGGAATTGCTGCCTTTCACCACTCACTTCCATCCATCCGTCTCTCTTAACGCTACCAACCTGCTTGAGCACAAGCCCATGAGTGGCAAGCCAGATCTGACTCTGCACACTCTCACTCACTTCCTCGACCGTTTCGTGTACCGCACGCCCAAGGCCAATGCCAGCTCCCGCGGTGCTTCTATCATGCAGCCCCTGGGTGGTGGCGAAGTTGCCGATCGCTTGGTGGAGGCCGGCAAGAAGGCAGAGAACCAGCTGCCTCTCAACACCGAAGCCTTCTGGAAGAAGAAGGCCAACGATGTTGCCGCCGAGGATGTCTTCTTCCACGAATACTTCACTCGTGTCAACAAGGACAAGGAGAAGGTTCGCTCCAAGAAGAGCAAGGACGTTGATGCCGAAGATCACTCCGACGAAGGTCTTAGCGAAGATGAAGACCAGATCTGGAAAGCGCTCGTCGACTCTCGCCCCGAGCTCGAAGCCGACGAGGACAGCGACGACGATTTGGACATGTCCGATTTGGAATCTGCCTTGGACTCCGACGAAGATGGCGAAGGCGACGAGGACGACTCCGACGGCGGTGTCATCTTCAACGACGAGTCCGACGTTCCCTCCGACGAGGAAATGGCCGAGTTCAGCGAGCCCGAGGAAGCCGCGGCCCCAGCCAAGACCAAGAAGACCGCGAAGAAGCCCTCCAAGGAAGCCGAGGAGGACTCCGACGACTTCGATATGGACGTCTCGGACGACGATGCCTTCATCGACAGCGACGAGGAGCTGCCCTCGGATATGGAATTCGGTGGAGTCGAGCTCGAAGAGCCCGAAAAGCCTGCCGATGCTGCCGCTCCCGAGTCGAACCGCAGCAAGCGTCGCAAGCTCAAGCAGCTTCCTACTTTCGCCTCTGCGGACGATTACGCTGCGCTGCTGGCGAACGAGGACTCCGATGTGGGTATGTAATCTGTTTATTCTTGGACAAAAAGAGTTTGATTATTTCTTACCCCCGTGGGGGCCAAAATTCCTGTTTTGCATCTGGAGTTGTTACAGGTTGCACACATTCTGCTTTCTTATTCCTTTTTTTTCATTGTTATCTATATCTCTATCCTACTATCTACTTAGGTATTCCGTCCATCGTCCATGGATGCAGTCAATACAAGCACTTTGGAATACACCGTTCGTCTGGGCATAGTAGACCAAGACTGCCGATCTAAAGCCAAGCCTTACCCCTCTCTAGGCATAAACACATCCTATAGGACAGCTCTGGGAGTCCAATCAAAGACATCGCTTCATACTGCTAAATGTTAGTTTCAGCAATGTAACAAGGGGTACTCCCCTCCATGTGAAATATCTCAAACTATGCATATTCTACTGCATGTCTCATGTTATAAGGCAACATATTAAGGAGGGCATCTAAATAAGCTCAGATCTGTGTGGCTTGGAAAGCCCCTTAAATCCCTCGACGCCATCGCTGCGGGTTCGCACGCAAGCGGCTGCTGGAGCCGAGGACCAGATCGTTCAACGATTATTTGTAGTATGCGATGCTTCCAAGGTTTTTTTGCATACAGTATGTACAGCGAAATATGTACAATACCTATCATACGTAGGATAGGTGCGCATCACCTACACCCTTGAAGGCTAGGCAAGGACCCGGGGCCAGGCCATAAGTCAGGTGCACGTGGTAGTCATGCCTTAGGCATAAAGGTTAATGTTGACGCAGATCCTTCCCTTCCAGCAAACTTGAAATAAAATCCCTGATCAAACATACGATACCTCGATCAAACCATGTTCCACTATTCCACGCCGAATCCATGTTCTCGGAGGCATCGTATGCACGGATTCAAATCCTGACCTGGCCTGGATGGATTCATTCGACCACAGCCATCCGCATGCGGGGCCGCCACAGTCCACCAGACGCATAGAATAACGGAATGATATGCTATGCGGGCGAAACCGACTTTACCTAAGTGGGTTTACATTCTGAAGCTCCAATCAATGGTAGTCTCAGCTCGTGGCCCCCCCCCTTGAAAAAGAAGGATTCGGGGTGCCCGTTGATTTTGATATCAAGAAAAAAAAGAAGAAAAAGGGCTTTGTATATCGACAAATCACCATGGACAAGCTAGGATTAGACTGGATCCAACCATCCTGATGCTTGATTTCACCAGGTCCGATTCCCTAAACCCAAGGTCCGGCCTTTGCCTATTGCGGCGGAGACCTGCCAGCAACGTCATATCTCTTCTTTTTGCTTTTATCATTTTTATTTTATTTTTCTGGATCTCACCAGTGGGGAACGGAGCTGACGGTATTCTCCAGATACCATAATTACCATATGTGATGCGATCGCGCCATACATGGTATTCTGGTATAGTTTTTTTTATTATAATTTATTCTCTCTTTTGGTCTCCTTGATCTCTTCTTCTTCCCACCCGGTCCAGAATTGCGTGCAGTTCAGAGAATACTACCCCAGGTAGCCCGCATTTGCCCTAATCCGTCCATCTCTGATCGCTTCTTCCAACCCGATCACCTAAGATTTGATCATTTGAGCGTAAGTGTCTAATCAGTGCATCTGTCCAAAGAAACACAAATACAGAAAAAAGGACGCAATCCGCTCACACGAGACTAGTATCCGATCAATTATCTTCTCGAGCATCACATGCATCTGCAGATCTGCAACTCTCCTCTCGACTCCACCGAGTTCCGACAAGCGCGGTTCCTCCGCTCTTTAACATAAAAATGACCGTGTCAAAAGAATCGCCAAATCCTGCCGGCTGGGACCATGACCGGGACCAGGACTTCACCCCCGAGCTGTCTGACAAGTCCGAGCAGGATCCCAAGCTGAAGGACTTCGACATCGAGGGCCAGGGCCGCCGTGGCTCGCAACATGTCGCTGCCATTGACTCGTCGTCAACGACGGAAAGCATCGGTCGCCAGATTGACATGGAGTCGGAAAACACAATCAAATACCGAACTTGTAGTTGGCAAAAGGTGCGCTTCCTTTGGATAAGGAAGTTTTGGGAGTTGATTGACTAATCTCTTCTTTTTAACAGACTGCTGCATTGCTTTTCTCCGAGTATATTTGTCTGGCTATCATGTCCTTTCCCTGGTCATATTCCATTCTGGGTCTGGTTCCCGGTTTGATCTTGACCGTGGTTATTGCTGGCATTGTCCTGTACACTTCGCTGATTACCTGGTATGCTATCCTGCCCAATGGCTGCAGGCCCCGGTATAAGCCTCGGTGCTAATATTTGTATAGGAGATTCTGTCTGCGACACCCAGAAGTCCGCGACGTCTGTGACATCGGTCAGTATCTGTTCTGGGACTCCAAGATTGCGTGGTGGGCCACAGCAGTCATGTTCCTCCTGAACAACACTTTCATCCAGGGCCTGCACTGTGTGGTGGGCGCAAAGTACTTGAACACCATGTCCAATGGCGCGGTATGCACAGTCGTCTTCTCGATGGTCGTTGCTATCATTTCTTGGGCTTTCTCGCTACCCCGTACATTCAGCACGCTGTCCAAAGTCGCAACCCTCTCAGCATTCTTCACATTCGTCTCTGTCGTCTTGGCTGCCGTGTTCGCTGCCGTCGAAGACCACCCGGCAAACTACTCCGCTGCACTAGGAGAACCCACTGTGCTCGTCATCCCGGCCAAAGACACGACATTTGTCAAGGGCATGAATGCCTTTTTGAACATTAGCTACACCTTCATCGGCCAAATCACCCTCCCCAGTTTCATTGCCGAGATGAAGGAGCCCCGCGACTTCTGGAAGTCCGTGACAGCCGTGACAATCGCCGAGATCATCGTTTTCAGCGTCGTCGGCGCGATCACCTACGTCTACGTCGGTAACCAGTACATGGTTGCGCCTGCCTTCGGCTCCATCGGCGACGACGTGTTCAAGAAGGTCTCCTTTTCGTTCATGATCCCGACTATCATTTTCCTCGGCGTGCTGTACGCCTCCGTCTCAGCCCGTTTCATTTTCTTCCGCCTGTTCGAGGGCACCCGCCACAAGGGCAACAACACTGTTGTTGGCTGGGCTGCTTGGGCTGCAATCCTTGCCGCGCTTTGGCTTGCGGCCTTTATCATTGCCGAAGTCATTCCCTTCTTTTCCGACTTGTTGTCTATCATGAGCTCCCTCTTTGATTCTTTCTTCGGATTTATTTTCTGGGGTGTCGCTTATATCCGCATGCGCGCTGAGGACCACGGACCCCGTTTCTTCATGGTCCGTGGAATCCGGGGCTGGCTCGGTTTCATTTTTAATGTCTTCTTAATTCTCGTTGGTTTCTTCTTCTTGGGACCTGGAACATACGTAAGTGATGATCCCCTTGACTTGTTCTTGTTCTTTCTTGTGCTCTTGCTAACACATATTCCTTCTAGGCTGCTGTCATGTCCGTAGTCGCCAGCTACGCGGACGGCGCCGTCAACGGTGTATTCACCTGTGCCAGCAACGGACTGTAAACCCCCCCGCAGGGCGGGGAGGTTGTGATCTTTTTTTAATCTTCATCTTCGCATTTGAATCTCTTATGCACGTTGTTTCCGATCTACCGGGCCATAGACCCGGGAGACTTTATGACTGTGATGACCGAGAAGGCAAGGTGGCGGATAATCGTGGATTTTACATACCACTTGACCACCTTTGGGATATTTGGAATTGTTTTTCAGGATGCGCATTCCATCGCAGGGTTTCAATTGCTCTGTATAGCTTGGCGGAAAAGAGCATGGATCTTGGGGTTTGCTCCCCCTATATGTATATTTTTACCCCTGCATTCTTTGAAGCAGTTGGCACCTTTAATTGCATGTAGGCGATCGGCTTGGAGACTGCAATTTGGCTCTCCGGCTTTGATTCGCCATCGCCGCGGCAAGACTCCGATGGCCTTTTGGTCTGCCAATCGATGTAGCCGCGTACCTGAGTTGTACAGGAACATAATCACCACCGACGGAAAATGTAAGTGATAGTTCGCCGGTAATTATACAATGACTTATATCTCATGGTGATTGGAAAAGACCAATGATATATAGTCAGTCTAGAACTATGGCCAACAGCGTACAACGTCCGAATCGGGCAGCCAGCTACTCCCCGATCGCCTATCACCACGTGATTTTCCCGTGATGCTTCCCCGACGGTGCATTGGTGACTTCTCGCGGATCGTTTCTTTCTCTTTTCTCTTTTCTTTTGTCAATTCAATTCCTACAGCATTGATTCACCATGTCAAGTGTCCGTATTCTCGCACGAGGTGCTGACCTCGCCGCCGCGAGGGCCGCTACCCTCAACCTTCCCCGCGTCTCTATCGGCTCCACCGTACTTCGGCGGGAGCTCTCCTCCGCGGCTATCGTGCGACCAACAGTCCTTCGGTCATTGAAAGCCAATGCCCCCGCCGCGGCCGTAGCCCCGCGTGCGGCGAACCAGGCTGTGCGCTATGCCTCTAGCTCCAGCGAGCCCCTCAGCAAGACACAGCTCTATGACTTGCACGTGGAGCACGGTGCCAAGATGGTGCCTTTCGCCGGCTTCGATATGCCTTTGCAGTACGCCGATTTGAGCCATGTGGAAAGCCACATGTGGACTCGCGGGAAGGCCAGTCTTTTCGACGTAAGCCACATGTAAGTGAACCGTTTCCAAGCCAAGACAAACCCGCAATGGCTAAACAAATCCCCCATCTATAGGGTCCAGCACCAACTCAGCGGCCCCGGAGCCATTGACCTCCTGAAGAAGGTGACTCCTTCCTCGGTAGACAAGCTAGCCCCAAACACCTCCACCCTCTCCTGCCTCCTCGAAGAAGGCACCGGCGGCATGGTCGACGACTGCGTCATTACCCGCCGCACTGAAGACAGCTTCTACTTCGTCACGAACGCCGGCCGCCGCACAGAGGACCTGGCCTTCCTAACCGCCGAGATCGACGCCTACCGCTCCAAGCACGGAGCCGACAGCATCAAGTGGGAAATTCTCGCAGACCGCGCGCTGGTCGCGCTCCAAGGACCCCTCGCCGCCTCCGTTCTCCAACCCCTCATCAACACCGCAAACACCCCCTCCTCCGAAACAGACCTGAGCACCCTCTATTTCGGCAACTGCCGCGAGCTCTACCTCACCCTCCCAGACGGCAGCGCAACCGCACACCCGCTCCTCATTTCCCGCACCGGCTACACCGGCGAAGACGGCTTCGAGATCTCAATCCCCACTTCCGGCGCTCCATCCCTCCCCCGACAAGTCACCGAGCTCCTCCTCGCCGACAGCACCAAATCCCGTCTCGCCGGTCTGGCAGCCCGTGACTCCCTCCGTCTCGAGGCTGGCATGTGCCTGTACGGTCATGATATCTCCACCGCGCAGACCCCGCCCGCCGCGGCCCTTGGCTGGGTTGTCGGTCGTGATCGTCGTGATCCTGCAACTGCTACCTTCAACGGTGCCTCTGTTATCCTTGCCCAACTCGCCAGCCCGAAGACTATCCCACAGCGTCGCGTCGGACTTTCCGTTGAGAAGGGTCCCCCAGCTCGTGAGGGCGCTCTCGTCGTCGATATCTCTGACCCGGCGAACCCCGTTGAGGTCGGCGTTGTCACTTCCGGTCTGCCCAGCCCATCGCTTGGTGGTGCCAATATTGCTATGGCGTATGTCAAGCAAGGTCTTCACACCAAGGGTACCGAGCTTGCTGTTAAGGTCCGCAATAAGGTCCGCAAGGCTACTGTTGTTGGTATGCCTTGGATTACGAGCAAGTTCTACCGTCCTCCCCAGTAAAGGGTAAAGCTGCGACAGTTCTACTTTTAGGTTGTTGACTTGTGATTTCCGGTTTTTGTTCCTTTCTGAAATGGAGGAGACTCGTGCGAAAGACTAGCGTTGATGCTTTTATTACTTGGCCTTTGTATATATGTTCCGATTTTACGACTGATATTCATCATATCAAAAAACTTATATTTTTTTTTATCTTTCATCCTATGCTAGCTCTGCTCGCACAAATGTATTTGTATCTTGACCGTATGTAAGATTGTGTAGGCATAAAACTACCCGGCCTGCTCAAAAATTCCGAGTTAAAGCAAGAAATATATATCCGAGACAAAATAATGAGTATAATGATAAACTACCCACCGAATACGGAGTATGAGAAGCAACAAGCAGTAGAACCACAAATCAACCTACCAAGAACTACCTATATCCACATGACCATCCCCAGCCCTACGAACATGGTGATCAAGGTGCAAAGCATGCCTCGATGTGCCAGAAACAGCACCAATCTCCCCAGCCTCAACAACACTCTCCCACCTACGGTCCCTCACAGCCCCATCATCACGAGCACCCCCAGCCTCCGGCACCAAAGAAGGCGGCAAATCCTCGAGCTTAGTCCCCCAATCACTCTCCTCTTTCCCAAGAACAAGAACCAAATCCCTCCCTTCGGTGAAGAAGTCATGTCCAATCCAATTCCTCGTCCAAGGCTTCCCGTCCAGCGTAGCGGACTGGATAAACCCATTCCCACCAGCAGCAGCACCAGTAGCATTAGGCGTGTTATACTCAGCCCAATTAGTCGTCCTCACCGTTGCCGTTTTCCCTGTCAGCGGTGAAACAATACTAACCGTCTCGAAGAACGGTGTTGTGAGTAGGTACACGTCCTGTCCTGGGTTCGGGAATAAGCCCATCATCGCCATAGCGACGAACGAGCCCATTGCGCCTGAGTCGTCGTTGCCTGGTAGTCCTGCTGGAGTGGGAGAGAAGTAGTCGGGGATGTAGGTGCGTACGCGGGAGGTGGATTTTGCTGGGCGGCCGGCGTAGTGGTATTGGAAGACTGTTAGGAATGCGGGCTCGTTGCCGATGTAGGTTATGTTTTGGTCGTGGAGGTAGTCGAGACGGGTGACGAATTCGGTGGGGCCGTTGAGGAGGGTTATTAGGGTTTGCATGTCGTGGGGGACGAAGCTGGGGGTGTTAGAAGGGATTTGGGTTTGGAAAAGGTCTGGGGACGTGGGGGTTTACAATTGATACTCCCAGATGCTGGATTCGAAGGTTTCGCCTGCGGTGTTTTGCAGTGAACAGACACTTCCGCTATGGTCGATGTTCGAGCATGTTAAGGGATCTTGGACGCCCCATGTTCCATTTAGATGCTTTGGCTGGAAGAAACCGGCGAAGCCAGTGTTGTTTCCTTTCCAGAAAGAGGTTTGGTCCTTCTTGAACAGGTTTTGCCAGTATCGGGATCTTTTTTCGTAGTGCTCTGCATCGGCCGTCTTGTTCATGCCGCGAGCCATCTGCGCTATGGCGAAGTCATTGTACGAGTACTCCAGTGTGCGTGAGATGCTGCGCGTCATTGTGCCGAAACCCTCATAGTCAAAGTCTTCTACGGGTATATAGTGTAGATCCTTCCAGCTGCGTAAACCGCCGCGGCCTTCACTGGACCAGTCGTATGGCTCCTCCTCGGCGTCCTTTTGGACAGCTGCGTACCCGGCATCCCAATCAATGCCATCCCTGAGGCCTTTCAGATACACGTCTGCCAGGACGTTGTCGGCGTTAGAGCCGCCTTGTGTGTGTCCTTTGCACAGGGACATGCGACAGTCTGGTAGCCAGCCTAGATGGCGCTGGGTATCGATGAGTGAGCGCACCATCTGAATTACCGAGGAAGGATCAAAGATCGTGAGGAATGGAATCTGGGAGCGGAAGGAATCCCAAAGACAATAGAACGAATCGAAGTAAGGCTCGCTGCTCTTCCAGAGCGGGTTTTCGCCTGTGTAGTTCTGAGGGTTGATCATAGTCCTGTAGATTCCGCTGTAGAAATTGGACAGAACGGATGCATCGATGTTTGTTCGTGAAACACGGATCGGACGCATCTTCTCGGTCCATTGGTCGATTGATGCCTGGCGGGTTGCATTGAAGTCGAAGTGTGGAATCTCAGACTCGGCATGAGCGCAAGCTTGCTCTGCACTCATGAAGCTCACGCCAACTCGAGCGAGGACCGTATTGTCCGGAGCAGACTTGAAGCGGACAAATCCACCACCCTATGGGCATTACGATCAGCCATCTCGGTACACAAGAATAAAAAGCTCACTCACTGGAAGCGGATACCCATTGATACTGCGCGAGATTTTCAAATCATGAACACCAGCACTGGCACGAGAATTGACAAATATACCACTATCTCGCTGGGCTGCAGGGCTTGCGAAGTCCACGCAGAAATACAAAACATACGACCCCGATCCAAAGCTAGGAGCGAAGCGCGCATTACCAGTCATTCGGCTCGTTTTGCTATCCACCGAGATGGTCGCATTGTCCTGACGGGAGTTCGACAGATCAGTGAGATCCAGCAAGATCAATGGGCTGGTGCTTTTATCATTTGGGAACTGGAAGCGAAACAGGGATGTATGATGCGCAGTTGTCATATCAACCCGGACGCCCGATGCCAGCTCTATAGCAAAGTATCCGGGGTGCGCCTGGACCGAGTCGGACTTGTACTTCGTCTTTCGTTGGTTCTTCGGGTAAATACAACCATTCAAATCGTCGCCGGCGCATTTTGCATAGGGAAAGAGAGGGAAATTTCCTAACGAAGGACTACCCCCAGTGCCAGAGTCGTGCATGCTGGAGAATCCGGTGACGCTGCCGCCCTCGTGGGCGAAGCCTCCTTGGTTGCTTTCTGAGTCTGTATCGGCGACGGCTTTCGCCATGCCGTATGGCAGGGAGGCACCTGGGAACACATTCCCTGGGGAGAATTGGTTGGCGTGCAGTTGGAGTTATTTGGTTGTTCGAACTTACCTCCATTGGCACTGCCAATCAAGGGATTGATGTATTGTAGGACGTCGTAATCTTCCACTGGAGGGATATCTGCAGCAATAACCAGGAGCCGACTGGTTAAAAATAGCGACAGTAATAGATATGGCGACATGATCTAGGTTGAATAAAGATGGCCGAGCGCGGGAAGGTCTGCTATTTAGATGCACCTCCCTTCATCCCGCGCCTGCCTGGTATGCGTGCCCCTGGCGATCCTCGTTAAACCCTGTCTGTTGCATTCCGCTGCATATTCCCGTATATGTATCCGGGTGTCTCATGTTGTAGTGCAAGATGTATTGGAGGTTGGTGGGACTCGTGTACCCGGATTGATAGGTTTGAGAAACAACATGGGTCAAAGTATTTTTTTATATCTTCACGTCTACAAAAGGAAACTGTGTATGTTACAGATTATGTATTAATGTATTAAGAAAAGCGAGCAACCATATCATCTGCTAGATGTGGTTTCTGCAAGCCCGGAATAGACTTTCGAGAAAGATGACCTCTCTCACCTTTCTTTCACATCACTTCCGTTTCCTTTCAGCCATGGCGTTTTCTGGACATCTGTCCCTTGTCGACGTCAAATGACTTACGCTCTCGGTTGAGAGTGGCTTCAATCTCATACAATAATACCAACTGGGCTCAGTTGGGACCCCGTTGAGGGTCCCAGATGAGTGCCATAAGCTTGAAGAATTCATATCTGACCAACGATCTCTAATCCTACATAGTGTTCATTCTGAATAGCTCCCTAAAATCCTGTGACGTTTTTGTCCGGAACAAATCGCTCCTTGTCTTTGTCCTTTTGTGGATAAAAATAGATTTCTATCACTAGATCGCCATTCAAAAGTTTCCCGTAGTATATGTTGATATCTAAATCCACAACAGTATACTCTACGTATGTGCGATTCGAAAGTTATAGAAACGGTCAGAAATATCAATATTATAATCACTATTATAATCAATAACAAAAGTTATGAGCATAAAAATCTCGGTTTGAAGATGCCGAGGCAAAACCAAAATCCACTCAACTGGTTTCTCAACAACTTCGCCTTCTAGATCTCCATAGATTCGGATTTTTATTTCTTTAATTCTCGTTCTTTATAATTTATGATGTTCCGTCAATCTGTTCAATCCCTTCGCATTCCTTCTCCCTCCGTACTCCCTCCATCGCGACTCCTTACCCGCAACTCGTTCTCCGTTGCTCCGAAGGGATCTTATAGCCGGTCCTACTCTACCGGTAAGCCATACATAACCCCATTTTCAACAGAAGAACTAACCTAATAATCGCAGAATCCACCTCTACTCACCCGTCACCCAAACCCCAGCGCTCCCGTCTCCGCCGTGTCATCGGCTTCACCTCAATCGCCGTCTTCGCATTCACCGTTGGACTAACCTACCAAACCCAACTTACCCTCTCACGCATAATGGCCACCCCAACCGAAGAAGAGACCCTAACGGCCTTCATCGCCGCCGATCCTATGTCCTCAAAAATCGACACCACCATTCGCACCCACCCCGTCGCAGAAGCCCTCCGCGCAAGACCAGAGTTCTCCGAATCCCGCCCACACCTCACAATTCCAGAGCCTCTGCGCTTACGGAACCTGACCGCCGGAACGCTGGCCGGACCTGGGAAGATTGTCGTGCCGCCGTATGTATTCAGTGAGCGCGACGGCAAGTCCATGGTCTCGCTGATGTATCTCGGCGGTGATGTCTGTGGTCATCAGGGGATTATTCACGGAGGTCTACTGGCTACGTTGTTGGACGAGGGTCTGGCGCGTTGTTGTTTCCCCGCACTGCCGAATAAGGTGGGTGTTACGGCTAATTTGAATATTGATTACCGTGCTCCTGCTATGGCGAATCAGTATGTTGCTCTCCGGGCTGAGACGGTCAAGGTGGAGGGTCGGAAGGCGTGGGTGGAAGGTCGGATTGAGACTCTTCCTGTTGATGGTACGGAGCCGGTTGTGTTGGTTGAGGCTAAAGCGTTGTTCATTGAGCCTCGGCAAGCTGCTGTAAGTTGGGATTGACCTTTTCTTTTTCGATGGCTAATTTTTCCAGGCACTCTCGAGTCTTTACAAAGTGGCGTGAAGAAATTTCTTTTGGTTCCTGTTCCTGGTTCCTGTGGCGAAGATTCATACATGGGTTTAGAATTTGTAAATATTATTGCATTTCAAATAGGTTATATAGCCATAATAGACTATATAATAGAGAATTAAAAGATAAAGGACTACAAAGGACTATAAAGGACTCAAAAGTAGTATATAAAAGGAGTATAAAAATCAGAAATGCCAAGCGATGGCGACACCTCTACCACCCCGCGATGATCACATCTTCAGTGACGCGGCCCCTCCATATATAACTTTAGGCTTTCCAACTTTTCACTCTTTTCACTCTTTCAATTGATCCATATACCTCCAAAAATGTCTACGTGAGTCCCTTTCCCAATTCCAACCCAGCCTTAAATCTAATAAATACAGCAACATCACCTTCCACGCCAGCGCCCTGACCCGCAGTGAACGCACCGAGCTGCGCAACCAGCAAGGTCTCACAATCTGGCTGACTGGACTTTCCGCCTCCGGCAAGTCTACTCTCGCCGTTGAGCTGGAGCACCAACTCGTCCGCGACCGTGGCGTTCACGCCTACCGTCTGGATGGCGACAACATCCGCTTCGGACTGAACAAGGACCTCGGCTTCAGCGAAGCCGACCGCAACGAGAACATCCGCCGCATCGCCGAAGTGGCCAAGCTCTTTGCCGACTCCAACTCCATCGCCATCACCTCTTTCATCTCCCCCTACCGGAAAGATCGTGACACCGCCCGCGAGTTGCATGAGGCTGTGACCCCCGGCGAGCAGACCGGTCTGCCTTTCGTCGAGGTCTATGTTGATGTCCCCGTTGAGGTGGCTGAGCAGCGTGACCCCAAGGGTCTGTACAAGAAGGCTCGCGAGGGTGTCATCAAGGAGTTTACTGGTATTTCGGCTCCTTATGAGGCGCCGGCCAACCCTGAGGTTCATGTTAAGAACTATGAGTTGCCGGTTCAGGATGCTGTGAAGCAGATTATTGATTACCTTGATTCCAAGGGCTACTTGCCTGCCAAGAAGGAGTAAGGTGGTTTCTTTCGTGGGATTGGGATGTATCTATTGGGTTTACATAAAAGAGTCCTGTACAGCGGATTGGATATGGTGTTTTTGTGCTTGATTCCCCTCCCCGCTTGCTGTATATACTGTGTGGACAATATAGACCGCTTTTGCACATTGCATTTCTAGGAGATGGGGTCCGGTCTTTTCTCTATTCGCTTGAATATCTGGTCATATGAAACAAAAAAAAAATTCCAATGCTAGTTTGTGCTAGATGTACCAAGGTGGTATATGTACGTGTCTTCTCGAAGCTTTGTATCTCCTGCGATGCCTCAAATAGGCAACCTTAGTTGAACTCGAATTCATAAAACACATACGGCGTGTAGTCTGCGCTGCCCTCACCACCCGGGTGCATCTCGCCAGGATCATCCCGCTGCATACGACCCTTCTTGTCTCGCCCAAAGGCATTGCCTGCCAGATACGAGTATTTATTCTCGAGGTTCTGCTTTGCGCGATCTGCTTGCTTGGTGGTTTGTGTCTGTAGAAAAGAAGGTCAGCCCATATCACCATAAAAGCCAAACGGCAGAAGCAGAAAGAAAACATACCCGGACCAAAGCACAGACGAAATCCAACGGCAATCCATACCGCAGCACCGTCTCGACAAACACCCTCAGAACCAAAATATGAATCCAAACCATAACAGCCTCACTCCAAGCTGTGCGACCGAGTCGCAGCGTCTCACCCCATACCTTACGCTCGTCACCACCAACGCGCTCAACCTCCTTGCGCTCCTCCTCCTTCCCACCCTCGACATACTTAAAGTCACGCGGAATCCACTTCTGCTCACGGCACTTATGCACGAACTCGGCGCTATGCTTTTTGAACGCTGCCACAGCGTACAGCGTGAACTCGCTGTCAGAGGCGACCAGCTGGGCGGACCGCGGGACCACCATCGGCGCCACGGTCTCATAAGTCTTGAGGAAGTCTTTTACTAGCTGGGCAGGCACGGCGACGAGGTGGGTTTCGATGTATTCGGAGTCCTGGATGATTGATTTCGGGTCGACCACTGAGGCGAGGGACTTGGTGGAGAGGTTGCCTCTGTGTAGAGCGGGTTAGTTCTGGTTCTCGGGGGTTATATGCACACGTTCCAGTCTCCATAGTTAACGTACGTTTGTTTGCGCTGCAGTGTGGACAGCGTGTTCTTGACCTGGTTATATTGGGAGTACTTGAATCGGATGTCGTTGTCGATGCTGGACGCTTCCTACAGTAGCCAAAAAAGCATTAGGATCCACCTCCAAACCAGACAGTGGCCTCATTCCTATGCGCGGCGCAACATACCTTCTGCAGCAGATCAATCAGCTCCGCCAAGGACTTATCGGCCCTGTACTTGACTTTGTTCCATTGGAAAGTACGCAGGTATTGATCGACTGGCTCTGTAGGCAGTCAGAACCTAGGATCCAGAGATACGTCCTCCAAGACCGTGTTTCCCCTCCACGGCCAGATCAATATAAAGCCGGAGACGTACTATCGTTGACAACCTTCATCTGCTCAATCTGGGCCTCGTCCTCGAGGATGTTCTTCAACGCATCGCTGACCTTGGCAACGACACCCTGGCACGAAGCCTCGAGCTTGGCAAGCTCGTCCGCCTGCTGGACGAGGGCATCTAGCGTGCCGATCTTGAACTCGGGGATTGGGAACGAGGTAGCAGAGCCATTGTCCGGGGAGACGGTGGTCGAGACTGCTTCGAGGGCGTCGTCGCGGTGGTGCGAGGGGACGATGGAGGTTGGGAGAGAGAGGAGAAGGTATTTGCTTGGTTTGGACATGGTTGATTATGTCGGGGAATTCAAGGTCGAGGGGAGTTGGGGTTGAGGGGGGAGCTCGGGTGGCCTCGATGTCGTAGGCGGTGGGTGCTTGGACCAGGTCCTTGCACATCTACACTTTTTACGAAGTACAGAAGAGTCACTTACGCCACTATCCTTGGAACTTGAGTAATCTGGTCTTGGTTACTGGAAATGATATAAAATACATTATTTCCTTGATGTTTCCCCCCTCTTACAGTGGTACAAAAATACTATTCCGCAAACGTAAATCCCCGTGAAAAGCACAATTCCTACATTTTTCATATATAACCTGACATAATGTTCAATATCAAATCAAATATTCATGATATCATACTAGGAGCCTAACTAACGAATATGAATATCATTGCAGCTAATACAGCATTTCACTTGAAGTGCTGTATAGAGGTGCATGACGCTAGAGGACTCAATGCTCGCTCGGAGTCGGAAACAAACAAAACACCAACATGCCTCAAGGGACAGGAAGTGGACCGCCCAAAAGGAATTTTGGCCACCGGAACAGACAGTAAGGCTAGATCCAGCCAAGGCTGGGGAAATCAACTAGCTTCGAATCTGCAGAGTATGTAGGAAAAAGTTGGGCACGAAGAAAAAAAAAAAAAAAAAGGCAAGACAGGGTATCTGTATCAAGCGTGCAGCGCTGACCGTGAACCGAGTGAAGAAGTAGGAGTGGAGGGAAGGGAAAGGAGTGGTATCTGTACAAAAATAGGGGGAGGGGACAATTTTTTTAAAAAAAAGAGCATGTAGGATTGACGAAAGAAGAATTCATGCTTTGACATTATGTCCAAGAACTGGGACAATCGATGCATGATGGTGTGAAAGATTGGACTGAATGTGAGGGCTTAAGAGGAAAAGTACTTCGAGCCTAGCCCTGCATGCCCATGAAAACTTCCTGGCAGTTCTCCACCAGGAACTTGAGGACATCATTCTTCTTCTGGACGTCAGTCATCTCACGGGCGAGACTTTCAGGTCGCATGATGGTTGGCGCAAAGACCACTGCGATATTCTGACTGGTCATCAGATTCTCTTCGTGGCGCTCGACGACGCGTCGGAGATGGAAGATGAGGAACTCCAAGACGTCGCGGTGCACGCGAGGCAGCTCGAGGAGACTCTTCTGCAGGAGTTCAATTCGCGCGGACATAGGGCTAACCTCGGCAGAATCTATCACAAGCTCGTAAACTTCGTAAGTGATCAAAGGGTTAGGAAGCTTGCGGAAATACTGCTTCAAAGTAGAAGTAACAGCATGAATATCGAGGTCAGGGTCAGAGATATCGTAATCAAATGGCGAGCGTTCAAAGCCTTCGCGAATAGTTTGGATGACTGAAGCGGCACCAGACTTGCGATAAATGCCTTCCATGTCCATGCCTGATTTTATTTGTTAGTATACGAGCGACTGAATAATGACTGACAAATCATACCTCGTAATTCAACTTCCTGGATACAGCGAGTGATGATGGCCGGAATGATGCTCTTTTCGTGTTCCATGCGAGCTTCAAGTTCGGTGCCGAAGAGAGCTGAAAGTCATTAGTTTATACTGATATCATCCTAAATGATAGTATCGGGAACATACCATCAGCGGCAACTTCAGCCAACACAGGCACGCTGTCAGCTTGGGACATCTTTCCTCCCTGCTTGCCTCTCTGGTTTCCAAAGAACCCAAAGCCTTGGCGACTGGGGTCTTGAGTCTGGGAACGCGGTATACCACCGCCGCCTTCTTGTGGCTGTCCATCACTAGACATGAAGGCTCCCTTAAGGCCCTTGACACCTTTGGCGACGTTCTGTCCACCCTTTTTCCAGTTGAACTTGCGAGGCTGACCCTTGCGGATGCTGACAACCTGGGGGCCTGGCACAACAGTAGCCGTAGCAGGCTCGGACTCTTCCGAAATGTGAGCAGTCGACATTGATCCTTGATAGTCGTTGGAGTAGGAAGGTTTCATCACTTCAATGGAGTTTGTGGACTGCTGTTTGTTGTGAGAGATCCCAAGACCGTTAGGTCGCGGCTGACCTTCCGTAGCTTTGTAGAGCTCTTGGATCTGGTGAACCAACTGATTGTTCAACTCAGCTAGTTGTGCGTTCTTCATAGACAATTGCTCGAATTCCTGGAAGCTCTTCTCCTTGCGAGTGTTCATGGCTTCCAATTCCTCCGACAGGTCATTGCGCTTCTGCATAAGATCTTCAATTTGCGGGGCATACGAGTCTTTAAGTTTTTGAATGGACTCTGCTAGCTCGCGCAGGACATGGTTCGTTAGTTTGCCAAGGTCCAATGGCCCACTGTTGCCACCACGCTTTTCAGCCTCCATATGATCAGTGAGAACCGTGAGCTCACGGAGAACAATCTCGCGCTGAGCGTCGAGAACGACCATGGTAGATCGCTTCTCAGAAAGCTCGGTGTTGACCTGCTTGACATCTGCTGCGGTGCGAGCAGCTGATTCCAGCTCTGCAACTCGTTGGCGTTCTTTGCGCAGTTCGTTGCGAAGCCAGGCGATCTCTTCACTCTGTGATCCGGCGATGGGACTGCCCACATCCGTTCCGGCTATGCTTCGAGTGCTTGGTGATCGAGGGTTCTTCAGGTCTTTGCTCATTCGCGCACTCTTCTCACTGAAGCTTCGACCATGGCGGACAGAGTTTGAGACGCGTCGCAGGAATGACTCGTTATTTTGCCCAACTGTGTCATCGCCACCAATGATGCGCGATAACTCTTCGTCCATAGAGAAGTCACCTCCGCTATTATACCGTAGCAAGCTTGATGCGCCGGCGCCATCGTGTGTGTTGGATTCATGTAGTGCTGTGTTCAAGGGAGTAGGTTGAGTCGGCTGTTCGAAAGTGTCACTACGGAGCATGGGAGAGTCCCCGTATTGCGATGATACAGGCGATGCTCCGACCTCTTTCCTTGGAATTTGGTGGAGCCTGCCTTCCAGTGAATCGCCGCGCTTTGGCAAATGCGGCAAGCCAAAGGTTGGAGAGCGCGCCGAGTCCGACGAGCCGTGGTCGTGAAGACGACGAAGCTCATTCGAGGGACGAGCTGGAGGCGAAGTAACGCTATCCATAGGCATGTGTCGTTTTGTGTCACTGGAAAAGTCCTTTGATTTGGTGCTACCAGGGCTGGTAGCCCCAGAAAGGTTGCTCGTTTCTCTGAAGCTGATCGGTATATCGGATGAGCTGCGAGCAGAGCCCGCCTTTGCAAGCTTGGACTCGGAGACTGGTGCTTTATCGGGTGAAGTGGCGTCGTTTCGTTCCCAACCTTTCTCCTGATAGGCAATATGAGGCGAATGATTTTCTGAAGGTTTTCGAGAAGTGGATTCTTGCAGATATTCACGGCCGTCGCGCGAGGGCCCGTGTGAACATTCACCAGATTGAACTTGATTGAAGTAATCGCGGGTAGGCTCTTTCCGTGTCTGTGAGTGGCCACGGGAAGAATTACCCTCTGCTGAAGGATCAAAGGCAAGAGGAATCAATAATTCACCGCCATCTGCGTCAGTTTTGCGAGGTATAGATTGACGACTGCTGCGATATGTGCTGGATGGAAGAAGAATGTCTGTGCAAAGAAGTAAGTAAGAGAGAACGTAATGTTTACTTTATAGATTAGATCACGCGATCACAATAAGAAGCAATAGGTAGGAACAATGTCAAGAAGTATAGAGGGCGGTGTATAGAACACGCGTGACAATGCAACAATAGGCGCTTCAATGTTTGGACATCTAGGCTGCGAAAGGGATCCAGAGAGTTTCATACCTGAATCTGCTTGCTGATTGGAGGTTGAGCTTTCCGGCCTTTCGTCATTTAGATCAGGCGTTTCCGCTATTCTATTAGGGTCAGGCGTGCCTGTATATTCACTAGACTCCTCGTCCATTAATTGCGCTTCTTCAAGAAGATGGGGAGGCAACGACGGCAAGGATTTGTCCAGCTTCACATTAGGGCCCGCCGTTTTTTTCGCACTACTGCCGCCGGCTTTCCTTTTTCGTCTTCGTGCCATTAGCGATTCGTGACATTCCATGCAGAATATACCCTGTGAAGTGCGCGCATAGCGCAAGTTCTCAATCTTTCGCTTGCAGTTCCGGCATCGGAAGCATTGCGCGCAGAACGCCTGGTCCCCTGTCAAGATGGCCAAATCCTCGATCTTGTTGTTGCAGGAGCTACAACTATATGTGCAGTTGCTGCATATAAGTGATCCATCGCCCAGAAGGAGGAGGTGCGCGTCCGAGTCAAGTAAAGTGCTACATGTACTGCATCGGAAACAGTCGATGTGCCATCGGTTTCCAGCTACCAGAGGTTAGTGAAATGTCAATATCCAAAAAAGAAACCGCGGGCATTCGGCATACCAAGCTCAAACGCTTTCCCTTCTTCAAGAGTCTGCCGAGACAGTTAGTCAAGTCCTGTCCCCTCGCTCCACATTGTGCCTACCTCTCCACAGCCCTTGCACGGGTAGGACTCTTCCTGCTCCATAAGAGATTCTGGGTACGCGCCTTGGTTCTCCATGTTGGGATCCACTCTTTACCGCGCAAAATGCAAGGTTGATGGTCGTATATCGATGCTTGCGAGTATATGTCTGGCGGGGGAACGCAGACCAAGTCCAAAATCGTGTGTATACGGGCGATTCGTGATCGCTACGGGAGATCTCGCTCGCAGTCACATGCGCCGTTGGTGCTGATTCCTTTAAGATGGGGTTTGTTGGGCGCAACCCGCGTTGGAAGTCGAGATTAGGGAGATGGGGACGTCGGTGCGGGTTTGGAGGGGGAGATGCAACAGGGGCTGAAAGAACGGCGAATAGTGACTGAACCTGCAGACTACCGAAGCATTAACATAAACGTGATCCAAACTAGTTTTAAGAAGACACCAGCGTTCCCAACCAGTCCCTGGACGAAAACAAGCAGGGCTAACCAGGTCTGGGGCGGACCAGGATGATAGCGACGGCAATTATTTGCCTACTAACCAGGGATTATGGATATCAATTTCTCGACGTACCAGGCACTGCTAGGTGTGCTACAGAGGTGTTTCAGATAAATAATCGCGGGTGTTGTGACCGTTAAGCGCAACAGGCGAAGGGAAACGGAGACTGCCCCTCGCGGGCCTTGGATTGGTTTCGAGGTTGGACAGGCGGAGGAAGCTCCGAAGCCAAAGGAAATGAAATCCGGGAGAAAGTATAATCAAAAAGAAAAAGAAAAGAAACAGCTATGAAACATGAGGGTTGGATTAGGGGGGGGGGGGGGGGGGGGGATGAGAAAGGAGTAGAAGGTGAACTTTTGGCTTTCTGCCACAAAAGGTCTTCCCCACGTTAGCAACAACTTACGAAAAATCCTCTAATTTCCCAAATCATTTATCTTATAGGCAATGCCCAATTCTCTACGGAGTACCTTTCTCTACCTTACTGCATATATACCGTGTACTTTGATGCGCGCCCAGAACGTGCGGGCCTTCATTTCCCCATATAATGACCAATGAGATTTCTGACACCCCTGAATATGGTCACTGATTTGATCCTAAGACACCAAGACAGGATATAATTATATTCTCCCAATCCAAAAAAGTACCTAAAATGGAGAAATTACCCCCGAGCATTTCCATCGCTCCATAGCCCCATCGCTTTGACCATGGTACGCCTATTTAGTCTCAAACACGCACTCCATTCTCAGCCTTGTACATGGTTTCACAATCACTGCGGCTGAAGTCAATCGCAAGAGTTTAAAAAATATTCCCGAATTGCAGAAAATAGTCTGGTTACCCCTGATCTGTCTCTCAGCTTCTTCCCCAGGGCCAGTTTGGAAATTGTGAAACGCTGTGTCACGTGCGAGTCAGATTAAAGGGGAGTGGCTTTGCGAAATGGCTTGCGAATCCTATTCGTTGGACTGGCTGAATGTATTGGATTTTAGTTTGCTGCCCGAAAGCGAGTTATTATCAAGGTAGTTCTACCGTTTTCCTTTTCTGTAATGTACTTTGTCTGATCTCCTCTACACATCTACCTATTAATAGCAGTTCAAACACTGGAGTTGAAGGTTAAATGTCAAGAACTCCCGATATCTCAGACTGTGTCTCAGAATGTATCACATCGATTTTTTTTTTAGGTTGTATCCTGTTCAATCCCAACGCATCTCGTTCTGGACGCGTCAACGGCCTCGCAAATGAATTATTCATCGACAAATTATTGCAAATATCGGTGTGTATTCATGGATAGCTGTGACCAATGATACTGGCCCCCAGGGGTCCACTTATAATTATCAATCTACCTGGCACATACTTTGTAGATCTGGGAGATTCTCCATGGGTATCTCTATATTAACGCATAATAATCGCTCATGAACATAGTTCAGATAAAGACTGCAATATTATTGGCCATTTCATAAAACGCAATATAACATCCGATATTGATATACAAAACCGTCTATAAGTTGACACTACATACCAGATCTGGCGGATCGGCGCCAAAAGTGGAGTTGGTACGCGGCAGTCTATGACTTCTTCCCCTCAATGTGCTTAGGCTTTTTCCAACCTTGTAAAGTTAAGTGCCGATATGAAGTGCCTAAAGACATAAACTTAAGGCTGGAATCTTTAGCAACATCTTTATTGGTCTCTTTTTTTCGACTCTTACCAAGCATATCTTTACCTCGGGTTTGTGCATACTTGTATGCAGTGACATAGAAAGATAATGTTTGCCCAATTCCACCCTTGGTATAGCAGGCTAGTAGACACCCGACACAGTGGTCAATGCGATTAGGTAGCCACGAATGATGTGATTATTGTAATAGAATAAAACAATGTGAAGCAAAAGCACGCCAGACGACACAAGTATCTCAAAAGGGGCGAGCCAACCCCGAGCTTAGTTGGAGGTATCAGGTGTGACACGATCAATCAGAGGGTCTGACTGAAACTTTTGGAAGTCTGAATCTGCTATAGAGGCTCTGGAAGACAAGTTAAGTAAATATCCAATGAAGCGTCGTGGTAGATAGAACACATACGTGAATCCTCTAGCGATCATGTCGGGGAACCTGTTGATGACAGTTCCACCATTTGCATTGATCTGTTCAACGTAGGCATTGATCTGCTCAGTGGTGGCCGAGTCTTTAAAGATTACCTGTCTTTGTTAGTGAGAATCGTGGGGGCCGAAGAGAAATTAACTTACAACATAATTCGTAGGCATTTTGTCGGGTATGTGTAGTTATGAAACTCTGGAAGAACACAGGCTCGGGTGTTGACGGTAATCAGGTAGACGACAAAGTATATTACTAAACCTCCATCCACGGTTGAACTCAAGTTGAACCGAGGTCTAATGACGTCACAAGAAGGCCGATCCAATTGGAAATGTTAAATACCTAAGTAATAGCGAAAAGCTGGGGTATATTGTATAAACTGTGTTGGGGGAGTTAGTATAAAGGTGTTGATGGCGCCCAACAGTTTACTTATCAGGATCTATTTCCTCCTGTGTTTCTATATTTTTTCCTTTCGAAATTTGCTAATGACAAATTCTTAGGCCACGGTAGACACCGCCAAGGCTCTGGCTTCATTTTCAGATATGAATTCATATCTCAATCCCTTATCCATTGACAACAACTCCCCCATTAGGGTGCAGGCTTTGGCCAGAGATAAAGCTACTATCCTGACTTGCAAGGAAAACGAAACATGTTGCAACCTCGCTGGGTTGTCCTGGGCGACCCATCGGTGTGCCACTGAACTCTTCTAGGGCGGAAGTATTCATGGTCGCCGGAATAAGAGGTGTCCAGACTATATGGTTATTAGTGGCTGTAGAATGATTTCTGCGAGTATTCTGGACTTACTTGGACCGGGGCACACACAGTTCACCCGTATGCCATTTTTGACTTGTTGGTTGGACAATCCCCTAGTGAAGGCGACGATTGCTCCCTTTGTTGATGTATAGTCAAGCAGATCAGGGCGACCGATATAATGGTTAACAGACGCACAGTTGATGATAGTTGAGCCGCTCTTTAGGTGAGGAATCGTGTACTTCGAGAGATAGAAGATAGGATGGATGTTCGTATCGAATGTACTTTGCCATTGAGACCTGAAAAGATGTTAATATAAGATACTCGATACTCGAAGATCGAGGATACGTACTCTTCTAGATCCTTAATATCGTCAATCATCGTCTGAGTTCCAGCATTATTGACTAGGATGTCAATGCCGCCTAAGCTCTTAAGGGCTTCGTCAACCACCGCTTGGCAATTCTTCGCATCCCGAAGGTCGGTGGGGAAGCAATAACAGCTTTGCCCGATTTCTTCCACTCGCCTCTTAGTCTCCTGCGCGTCTTTTTCCTCTTCGGGCAGATACGTGATCAAGCTAGAAGCCCCTTCCATGGCAAATAGGATGGCAACTGCACGACCGATCCCTGAATCACCACCAGTGATGATGGCCTTTTTCCCCGACAGCTTCCCCGCGGCTTTGTAGGTCTGATACCCGCCATCCTCGGTTGGAAGCTGGCTCGAGGTAGGCTTTGGATCTTCCATCTCAGCCTGTAAGCCGGGCTTTTTGTGATGCTCAACGGGGATTTGGTGACCTGTAGTCCTTATTAATACCGAAGCAATTATATAAATCTGTACACTGGCTTACCCTGTTGGAATTGAGATTGAGGGCCCCGAGAGGGCTTTTCCACTTCTTGTTGCATGTTGGTGATTTTTGTTCAGGCTGCTATGGGTATGGTAAGAGGATCACCTCTATATAAATATTAGTAGTAACCCTATTTCACGGGAAATCATAGCTAATTTTAAGTGTTAAAATGACATCACCGATCTGGGCGTTGAGATCATGGTAGAGCGGAACCAGGTTTTTGAAGTATCACTCCGGATTTCTTTGAATATTGGCCTGATATGAGACCCAAATACCTGTTTATGAATGGGTGACGGAGGAGTAACGTAATCAATCACATCTCAAAAGTAATCCAAATGGCCTAAAAAGATATTGAGAACATTCCATCTAAACGAACAATTTGCACATATTAACTACAGAAAACTCAATTACATAAACATATCTACAATGGCGGACGGTGTATTGCAACTCGTGTGCGAATGCAAGGTAAGACACTTCAAGGCATGAGCATCCCAGAAGATACTAAAGATACAATTCTAGCATGACCCCTGGGGCAAACAAGGCCAAAGTTCCCTTGCTGGGCGCCTTTGGTCCCGTATGCCTGACGCTGGAGAGCTGGAAGACTCAGAGACATACTCTGAAGTGAGCACCTCTCCTTCCATTTATACACAATGAAGCAACGGCGTTAACATTACTTAGATGTGGATGGGTACATATCCTGCTGTGCCATCTCGAATTCGCTCTACTGGAAAGCTCCTCTCCGAGCATCTCAAGAACAATCCCGACCTTGTTGGACAGTCAATTTGCGAATCCAGATACGGGCCTGACATCCCATTTCTTCCCAAGGTAAAATATAGTGCAAATATGATAGAGATGACAGTGGCTCTAACTTTAACCAGGTGCTCTCTTTTGCTAAAGCGCTCCCACTTCAAATTCATCCCGACAAAGGCCTCGCCGAGCGCTTGCACGCAAAGGACCCTGAGAAATTCGGCGACAGCAACCACAAGCCCGAGATCGCCATCGCATTATCTCGCTTTGAGTTGTTTGTTGGATTCAAACCTCTACACGAAATTGCAGAGCTCGTGCGACTGAAGCCATTGGAGCAATTTATCCCAACCCACAAGAACTTTGATGACGAAGCTTTACGGCAACTATGCCAAACATTGCTATGCTTACCCCCGGACGCCGTATCAGAGACAATCACAAAACTACAAGACATTTCTTTGTCTGAGTTTGGAAACAATGAGAATGTTCCGGGGCTCCTCGATCGGCTCAGCAAGCAATATTCAAAATTCGACAACGGTAACTTGGTCGCCGCTCTTCTCATGAACTATATGATTCTGGATCCTGGAGAAGCCATCTGCGTCCCAGCCGACGGCATCCATGCCTATCTTTCGGGTGACATTATTGAGTGTATGGCGCGGTCCGACAACGTCTTAAACACAGGCTTCTGCCCCCGCGCGGACCGTGACGATGTCGAGTTATTCGCACAGGCGCTTACATTCAAGCCACATAGCCCACAGGACTCTCTTCTCCAGTCGAGAAAGAGTCCGGTCGGGCTGGAAGGAAGATCAGTGGAATATGCGCCTCCAATCAGCGAGTTCAATGTCTTGGGTGTGACCTTGTCTCCCATGAAGTCCGAGAAGCACCGGGTGCTTGGAAGTCCTAGTATATTAGTTGTGACCCAAGGCTCCGGAAAAATGACTGTGGGTGATGGATCAGTCCATCATATTGGGGAGGGAAATGTCTACTTTGCCGCAAAAGACGCTGAGTTGAAATTTTCGACACAGACGGGATTGACGTTGTATCGAGCGTATGCCACATTCTGATGTTATTTGATATCCTGCAGGGCTAGACTGAATATATGATCTCCCCGCGGACACATGTCATTGTATGTAGGAACGTTGCCCCCGTTGAATAAATTGTATAGAAGCAATTGACATGTTATCCATTTTGTCTCGGAAAATAAGATATTTAGTCGCAGTGTATTGCCATCACTCATCCGTGCAATTCACCAACAACTTCTGCATACTCTCCATCGCCTTCTTCGCATAAGCTTCCATATCATACTTCTTTCCCGTACCATCTGGTCCGGAATCAAAGATTTCCATAGAGAACCACCCACGAAATCCAGTTTTCAACACCGCTTTAGCCACATCCTCAATCGGCAAGTAACCACCATCATACGGCATAGGCCTATAATCATGACTCCACTGACCGCGTGGTCTAAGCCCCTCAATAGGCTCAGTCGTCAACGGCGGAGAAACTCTATACGCATCCGAGATCTGTAGCAGATAGATTTTCTCCGGCAGAACAGTGTGAGCGAGCTCATCCATACTAGCGGCGAAGTTCTCTCGCAAAACACCGTACGGCACCTCTTCCATAACACCAGATTCCGTCGTCGGATCTGCCCATTCACTCCCCGCTATCTGGAATGTGTCTAGACACAGCCCAATATTCGGGCGGTCGACGGCTAAGACGATTTCCCACACGTCTTTCCAGTCTGGGGCATGGGTTGACCAACACCAGTTCTCGTAGGCCAGACGGAAATTGTTTGTTGCTAGCATGTCCGCTAGTTCACGGAGGTCGGAAACGACTGCTTCACGGGTGGTTGATATCCTATCAGATGGTGTATCCGTAGCTCCGACCTGACGAACTGATTAATCATCGATTTATATCGCGAGGCGGATCAATTCATACCTGCAGCATATCTGTCCCGAGAACCTTCATAATGTTTATCCAGCCCCTCGCTCTCGAAAAGGCCTTTTCCCTTTCCATTGTCCCTCGCGGCCAGCCCTCGAAATTCGCGAATGGTTGTAGCATCATAATGGTTAAGGAATTGGCCTCGCAGAGATCCCGGATCGCGTTGGAAACATTGACAAGTTCGGAAAAGCTATCGGATGATATTGGTTTACCTCGTAGATGCTCTGCATATTCTAGAATATCGGGGAATGAAAGCTCGATCGAGGTGAATCCGGCTTTGCTAATTGCTTCAAGTTTGCGGGGGAGTGTGTCACTGGAGCTGCCGATTGAGCAGGACGCATAGGCTAGCGGAATTGTTTGGACTGAGGCGCGTGTTATTGGTTCCATTTTAAGGTTGATTTCATATGGAAGAGAGTGTGGAAAGTGTACTTGATGTCCAACAAAATCCAGAAATATCACAGTCCTCACATTCTGTGTTAGTTACGAGTTCGAGTATTTGACCATTTTCGTCATCTCTATGTCATCTTTCCCGTGGAGAAAGACCTGTTCAATGTCAAGTAAGTGGAGCATAATATGGGGCTCTAAGAGCCAATTCAATACTTTCTTTTGGATGGAACTTCTTTTCTATTGATCCCGACAATTCAGTATCCCGACCTGGATCTGACCCCACAATATCAGCCATGTCCCTAAATTTGAGGGCCTAATATATACCGCAAAGACAAACACACCTTCTGTTACGATCTTTTGGCCTATCTAGTTAGATAGCTTGAGTTAAATGCTGTTATGTAATCCCTTAGGAGCTTGGGTTATTATAGGTATCTCCCTTTCTCTCCATCCGCTTTTCTACAGGGTTCACAATTCATGCAGTTTTCTCCGATCATTGCCAGAGGATCCAGTTGGCTCCGCAGGTTTACGTTCTGTTAAAACAACTCACCAGCATGACCGCGGCAATACTACCCCTGGAATTACTATTCCAGATCGCAACCATTCTGCAAAATGAGGGAGCTTCTCTAACTTTATGCACTTCTGTTTGTCGCTCATAGCAGGCGACTTTTGAGCCTTACCTACTCCAACCTAGTTGTGTATAGTGACGATGAGCACAAAGATGAAGAGCAACGTGGAATTTCTCTCCAAAATTTCCAAAAGCTCACATCCGGCGATCGTGCTATACGGAAAACCTACATCCGAAAGCTTGATTACAATATCCCCGTGCCCTACGAACTCTTAGATTCGGTGGCATGCAAACACTGGGAAACCGGTGAATCGTATAATACAGAAAACCCTATCCGAAAGGATAATGATTTACCTTTTCAGACAGCTATGGTTAGCCTTTTGCAAGAGCTTCAGTCAAGGGACCAGAGGACTTCCTGTCTGAGATTAAATCTGGGGATTCGAGGTCGTCGGCAAGGTCCTGCGCCGGAACCACATACTCGGCACTTAGAAATAGCCGGTGACCATCGTTGGGATTATCGAGATGGACGTAGATCATCAATCCCCCCATATAGGGCGCGGTTCCTCAAGGATATGTTGGATCTGCCATCTATTTCGTGCATTGAAAAGCTCTCTTTTCTAAATAATGAACCCTCCTGGAATGATCATCATCAAATTTGGACTGGTGCAGTGCGGACTATAATTCAATGTTGTACGATTATCGTTGAATTGGAGCCAGATCTTGGCGAATTCGTCCGTTCAGACCACTTGGAGTATATACAGGCAGGCCGCGAAGGTGAGCTATGTCCTCTTTATTGTGAACTTCCATTTACTCATAGCTATATAGCGTTGTGTTCTCTGATCGGTTCTATTCCAAGGAGTCTAAGAGTTCTACTCTACCAAGGACACCCGGATTTCCCGTGGAAACCGGCTATATCCCCAGTCAATGTCATACCATCTGGGGTTGATGGTGTGAACTCCAATTTACGAGATCTTAGCGTTCACCTTCAACAATTGAGGTTGGTGAACACTGCTATCGCATATGACTTTTTGTTTCCTTTGGATGGAAAAGGCCAGCCTGAAACAGGCTCTTTGCACTTGAACTGGCCCTATCTAGAGACATTAGAGCTTGAATTTGTACCACCTTGGCTTCCTTCAGGTAAGAAAACGGTTCTCTTCTAGAAGAAAGCAACAAAGCAAGAAAAATGTGAAGTATATCCGAGGCGTCTAACAACCAACGTATCATAATACACCAGAAGACCAGGCCGACCTCGACGAGTATGAAAATGAAAGTGGAAATTGGGATGATGTGATATGTGATGTTGAAGCGGGATGGGGCGATCTGGAGTTACGGACTGAAGAACATTTCCATCGACTTCTCATATCGCTCGGGTATGCGACCCAACGCATGCCCCGTTTAAAGAACATGAAAATCCATGTAGAAAGCCATCATAGTTTTACCGTCTTTCTTCAGCGGAAGGCCGACCAGATTACCCTGGAATGGGAATGTTATCCCCTATATCGGCCAGATAGTCGGTGGCAAAGGCGTGGGGGTTCGAGCTGGATGATGTGAAAAGTGACCCTAGACACGAAGAAGATTGGTCTGTGATACTTCAGACTTGGCCACGCAATACACATATCTAGCCAGCTGGATTAAGACATAGGAATTGCAAAAGGCAACTGCGCTCTCTTGTCACAAACACTGAGTACGAAGAATTGCTATTGTTCAGATACATAGTTCCCTCCATTCGTTGTTCCTACATCTAATCAATTCTCGCCAATCCTCACTCATGGAATTCAACATTAAACTGAGACGGGCGTGTCGGTTGACAACTGTTAGTAGCCGATCGAGGCCATCACCTCTATGCAACTTTCCTCTCTACAAACGAGGTCTAGCCTGGGCCCTGACGAGAGCATTTCAATCTAGGCTGTTCTGCATCCCAACGGGAAAATGCATGATATCACAAAGGCTAGTGGGATCATTATCTCTATATGAACGGGTTTCCCAAGAATGAAGAGATTAGCTATTTTCCCAGCGCTGTTTGGGTATAGCTTTTCTCCAATAACCCAGCCGGTCACCAGATGGACAAAGGCACATTGCAAAACGAGGTTACTACTGCTTCGTCCATGTCAACAATCTTCGAGTCTCTGGACACAACTAGTCGATGTTTACTGAAAGCCTTGCTCTTTTTCAACCCGGATTCTATCTCCCTGGCCCTTTTTGAAGCTAGTGACCGCAGCAACTACTCTCCGGAATTGCCATTCCGGTGCAATAAGTGGATGTAGGAGGAACCTTGGGGACTGGAATCATACCTGGCTGTTGCTTACTAGGGGAATTTTTTAGAACTACAAAGGCACTGGATGTTCTTCTCAACTTGACATTCATCCAGAAGCAAATAGAATCACACACAATCACGATTGCTAAAGACGTCCACAGTGAGTTGAAAAATCTTCTCAGTGACAATGATCGTCAATGCAGCTTCAAAAATGTTATATTCATACTCTATGATGTGTGGGCTAATGATTGGCTCGAGAACCCGTGGTTGGTTAGCGAATGGGAGACAGCCCATCGATATGTGTCTTACGCCCTGAATCTCAGAGACTATTTCTTTACGGAGCTCATGGGTTTCGGGTCTTTCGTGGATGGCTGGTCCTTCAAACTACCATGGCAGTTTTGTGAGCTACTTAGATGGTATCAAAGGTGTGCAAGCGTGCAAGCCCCCGTGCCTTCGATGTTGACTGAGTAAATAGTTGTCCCAAGGCAACGACATGAAAGAGCTAGCGACGACTTGCGGCATCAACCGACAAGCTCTAATCATGGCCGACTGCGGCAGGGAACTACTATACGTAGATGTATTAATCTCAGTCCACCAAGCACAAGCCGCCGAAAGCCTAGGGGAACCACTCAAGGCAATTGAGTTGAATGAGCAGGCTTACAAGATGCGGTTCGACGAAAGCCCACAACAAATAATCGCTCTGTGCTGGACAGCGAACAATCTTGCCTACGCAAATACCATGGCCAAATTGTATGAAAAGGCGCAGGACTGGTTCGAGTTACCCGAGGAATGGTGGCACTTGGCTTTCGAGAATGGCGAGGACCCCGGTGATCGTCTAGCTCGCCATATTGTGGATCATGCACGATACTTTATGTGCCTTCGGGAATATCCCAAAGCAGAAGAGATGCTTAATGACTGCATTTCTCGACTCAAGACCGAGAACCCACTGGATTGGGCAATGCTAGCCCAGTAAGCACTTCATGTGCACTGATAACAACGAATGCATAGCTCTAACCCCCAACCTTTTCTAGCGCGTTGTTCGCACTGGCAGAGATTCGTAGCCAATGTGGAGGCGAAGGTGGGTTCTGGCTAAAAATGAACCGTCATAAAGCGTGGAGCAATCGATGATCGATTCTTATATGCAGTGCGGACATCCGTTCTTTGCACATTTTTGCACGGTATTGAGACCACAGGTAGGAATTCTGAGCGTGTTTCGTGCTTTTTATAAAATCTCACAACTACTTTTGCGTGCTATTTCAGTACTCAAGTCGGGGCTCGGGTTCTTCAAGGGGCGGAGTTCACATTAAAGCCAACAAATTCTGAGTCGCAAGAGATCAAATTGATGTTTTAATCCATCAATCTTTCTTCAATATGACATCATAATAAAATATGCGATGTTCGAAATATCAAAACATCCTTGTGCATATCGGAGCCCACAGGCTGGCCGCTACCGCTTTCACCCCACTATCAGAAAAAATACGAATCAAACGTCGCCCCGCGAACCTCTCACTTCTTCTTTCATCTACATTTTTGCCTTGACGTTTAATACACCAGAATTCAATATGGGTGTCGAAAGAAAGATTATTACTCGTGGTACTGGCTCTGGCTCGCCTGCTTCAGGCGATATGGTCACTATCCACTACTCGGGATGGCTCTACGATGCCAAGAAGTCCAACAAGGGCTTCCAGGGCAAGCAGTAAGCTGACTGCCATACCCTAGATCCATTCAACGTATGCCTTGATTTTAAATACTAATTATCTGTACCAATAGATTCGATAGCTCCAGACTCCCTGGCCGTGGCCCTTTTAATACTCAGATTGGTGTTGGAAAGGTCATCAAGGGTATCTTATCCTCTTTATTTTATTTTTTATCTCAATGGAATCATTCATATCTACAATGATGAATTCCTTGTCATGTTACATTTGAAATTGAGTGCTAACACTGTCTGTCTGATTAGGTTGGGATGAGGGTGTCATGCAGATGACCCTAGGAGAGAAGGCAACCCTGACCATTACCCCGTGAGTAAAGTCCATATCGAACAAGAACAAACTGGACCACTGCTAACATTATTTCTCAGGGACTACGGCTACGGTGACAAGTAAGTGAACACACGAAACATGGAGGCGACTACTATATACGCCGTGACATCTGTCAACTGAAAGTGTTCTAACCTTTGTCTACACAGGGCTGCTGGCAAGATCCCTGCAGGCTCTACTCTGATTTTGTAAGTTATTGCAAGGAAGCGATGTCATCGGGAAACTAATTATTTCGCAGCGAGGTCGAACTCCTCAAGATCAACGGCAAGACCGCCTAAATAAACAATTGAATTAAGCAGATCACACAAGCATAACATTATCAGCTACATTGGCTACCATATTGCGCCCTTTTCCACTTCCTCACTGTACAAGCAAATCCTTACTTGGATTGCGGTCCATTGTAGAATACTGGTACCTAAAGCATATGGGTTGGGTAATGCGTTCCTGCCCTGGCAAACGCTCATGCAATTGAGTATACCCGCGGAATATCAAACAATAAAAATCGTCAAAAGTCGTTAACAGGTGTATGTACAGATGTCATATGCTATATACAGAATGAAAAGAAAAAGCAGAGTGAAGACTGACCACCTAGAGGCGGTGTTGAACAGGTGACTCGGGCGCCAACAGTGGCAACGAGGTGTTCTCAGCCGGCTCGTCCCAGCCCAAGATACGAGCCATTTTGTTATATGACTCGATACCACGACGAGCGTGGTCGGCAGGAACAAATGGATCGGTCTCGCCGAGAGTTCGACTAAAGAGTTCAAGAGAAACCCAGCCGCGGTAGCCGAGATCTTCGAAGAAGACACGAGCGATATCCACAATAGGCAGATAACCACCACGCGACTCCTCGAGGGGGAACAGACGAGCATTGCGTGACCAATTCATGCGGACAGGCTGTCCGGCAACGTGGAAAGGGTGCTTTTCATCTAACGGGGCGGAAAGACGCTCACCGTCAACAAGTTGGACATAGAAAATCTTGGCCGGGTCGATGTTGGCAGTGCGCAGGCGCTGCAACGAAGCAGCCAAATCTGCCGCCGCATTAGGTGTGCGACCTGAAGGAGCAGCAGGGTCGGCATATACACGACCGGCGATATTGAAAGAGTCAAGACATAGACCAAAGTTGCGACGATCGACATCGCGAACCACCTCCCACGAGGCCTCCCAGGTATCAATATGATCACCCCAGCAGAGAGCTTCGTAGACAAACCGGAACCCAGCACCGGCACCCAAGTCAGCCAGGCGTTGGAGATCACGAACGATGACTGTGCGGTCGCCAGTGGTGCGAGCAGCACCAGTCTTTGGGTCAGGACCTAGGAAGTTTGACGGAACCTGGATCATGTCTGTGCCTAGCGCCCGCGCCAGGGTAAACCATTTAGGGAGTTTTTCATTGATGAGCCGGTCTGACTCGGCGCGGTCGATGAGGCCCTCGTACATGGAAAATGGCTGGAGGCAGATAATGGTCAGACCCAGCCGCTTGCACATCCGCCGCGTTGAGCGTGCGGCCTCGTGGTGATCACCGTCAAATACCCGCTGCGCATAGCAGTCTAGGTCGTCGAAGAAGAGTTCAATGCCCTTAAAGCCGTGATCTGCGGCTTGCATCAGCTTGCCAGGTAGGTCGTGTACCCAGGGCCGACCTAGGGACATTGAGGCGATGCCGGGGCGGTTGAAAGCCATTTTGGAGTTGTGCAGATGGATGCTTCTTTCTATGTCGATATCATAAAACTCAAAGGTAATTTTCGAGGCTTTGTCTTTTAAGAAATATTCCAAGCGGAGAGATATTAAGGGAACCAGAATGACTTCAAGGTGGACGACCAACGATATTAGGGGGTTTCTATGTTAGCAAAAAGAAAGATACCAAAATAATTGCGACAAAACGTTATCCCCTACTGTTTCCTCCCAAGATTGAACGTTTTCCCTGGTCTGCTGTGATTCGTGTCTTGATGACGAGGCAGCCTGATAGAGGCAGGTCACATGTCCGGGTAAACGCTTCCCTCTTTTCGTTTTCCCGCCAGCTCCACTCCCTCACCACGACCGCTCCACTTTTCCTTCCATACAGAGGAGTTGGGCTCCCTCATTAGAAATGCTTTTCCCGTCTTTGAAAACAAAATTCCCGCAGATAGCCGGCAAGATCTTTTCCGCATGGGTCCAAATATGATCGGAGAACCGGCGCCGAAGCGTCGAGGCTGCCCGGGGTCTGGGGCAATAACACACTTTCCGCAAAAAGGCATACGGAAGTCACCAGATTGAATTTCCTTTTGGGCGCTGCAAGTTACAATATTGAGTATTGAATTAATTTGATTCTGTCAGAACCGAAACTTGTCCTTGAACTCTTTACCACCACCATGCCCGTCAAAGTTGCCATTATCGGCGCAGGCCTCATTGGCCCTCGTCACGCACAATCCGTAATCTCGAATCCCTCAACAGAGCTAATTGCCCTCGTTGACCCAATGCCCACTGGCAAAGCAACCGCCTCCAGCCTCAAAACCAACTACTATCCCTCTGTGGCTTTACTGCTTGCATCTACCCACCGTCCCGACGCAGCAATCGTCTGCACACCAAACCACACGCACGTCCCAGTTGCAAAAGAGCTCCTTGCAGGGGGTGTCCACGTCCTTGTTGAAAAGCCCGTCAGCGATACCCTAGAAACCGGTCGCTCCTTACTGGAATTCGCCCAAGCTCCAGAGCGCGCACACCTCAAGCTCCTAGTCGGCCACCACCGCCGCTTCAACCCCTACGTACGAGCCACGAAGGCAGTCCTGGATGCTGGATCTCTCGGCCGCCCCATCGCCATCAACGGTCTGTGGACCTTATTTAAGCCAGAAGCATACTTCGCCCCACCAACAGACTGGCGTGCATCGAATGAACGCGGCGGCGGCGTCATCCCCATCAACTTGGTGCACGATATCGACCTCATGCACCACTTCTTTGGGCCGATCGTGCGCGTTACAGCAGAGCGCACGCTGCCGCAGCGCCCAAGCCCACCACACAATGCCGACGAAGGCGCCGCTCTGACGCTGCGCTTTGCATCGGGTGTTGTAGGCACATTCCTGGTCTGCGATGCAACGCCGTCGCCGCATAATTTTGAGACTGGAACGGGTGAGAATCCGCTCATCCCGCAATCGACGACTGGTGGTGACTCGGACTTTTATCGCATCTTTGGCTCGGATGCTTCGCTCAGTGTGCCCGATCTGACTCGCTGGAGTTATGATGCTAGCCCCGAGAAGAGCTGGAATTCACCTTTGACTGTTCAGCGAATTCCCCTTCCAGATGATGATAAGGCGCCTTTTGATCTTCAGCTTGCGCATTTTGTTGATGTTATCAATGGGGACGCTGTTCCTAGCTGTACTGGGGAGGAAGGTTTGCGTGCCTTGATTGTTTGTGAGGCTGTGCAAAGGGCTATGGGGTCGGGTCAGCCTGTGGATATTGATGTCAATTTGTTGGCGAAGTCGAAAAACTAGCCACATACTGATCTGATTTTACTGGATATAGTGATCTGTTAGGCGCTTGTGTCTATTATCTTCTAACGATATGTCGACACGAAAATAGCGGATAAAAAGCCACAGAGGGGTGGGTATATGCATTCTCTCATTTGCTTCTGTACACTCCTTCAGCGAAGTGTATATAATAAACTAGGCGGCCCTAGTACAAAGGGACCACAACATGTGCAATCCGAAATCATCCCAAGAACGAGCTGACGCTTCGTCCGACAAACAAAATCACAAAAACCTGTACAATGACGCCACGAAGGACATCAGCACGAAAACGATTCACCAGCACATGGCTCAAGTATACTTTGGCTGAGCCACAGTATCCTCGACTTGCTCGGGGCGCACCTTGCCAACGTCAATGCCGGCAGCCTCGACGTCATGGCGGAATTGTTCTTCATTGTCGCGCAGCTGGACAACCATCTTCCCATGGGCATGTCGTACGGGCTTGATGTCGAATAGCTGATCCATGCTCTCAAGAGGAATACCCTTGGTTTCGGGGATGAGGAAGTACACAAAGAAGATGGAGATTATCATCATTGATCCGAAGAAGAAGTACACACCATATCCCATGGCTGTGAACATTTGCGGAGTGAAGCGCGAAATGAGGAAGTTCCAGAGCCAATTGGAGGCGGCGGCGCAGGCCTGTGCCAGGGAACGCATGTTGGGGTCGAACATTTCCTGCAGACGATGTTAGCACTGCTGCAAGGCTAGTGGGTCGAGCAGGTATTGGGGTAGTGCTCCAATTCCTGGGATTCCTGCAATGCTTACCGAGTTGAGGACCCATGGGGTACCGTTCCAGGTTGGGGTATAGAAGACCGTCCACAGGTAGAAGAAGAACATGGCGGCGATACCACCGCCGCTCAAGGTGTCGCTCGTGTTGTTTTCGGGTTTGGCGACCTTGATGTATGCGCCGACAACCCACAAACAGACCGAACCACCAGCTGCGCCAATCAACAACAGGTTACGGCGTCCAACATGATCAATCAGCCAAAGCAGCCAAATGAAAGTCACCACGGTCTTCACTACACCGAAAATTCCAGTGGTGAACAGACTCGTGTTGGTACCTCTGACACCAATCTAGCAGAATTGTTAGCAACAGTTATCAACGACCACGGCAAGATGCAACTTACTGATTTGAAGACAGTTGGGCTGTAATAGTTAATGGCATTAATACCGGATCCGTTCTGCCAGAAGAACAGCGCGCTTCCGAGGAACAGACGCCACATGACTTTCTTGTTGGTCCCGGCCGCCTTGAAGGGCTTCCAGAAGCCAATGCCGATGGTGCGTCGCTGTTCATCCAGAGCCTGGTCAATGGCACCGATCTCCTCGATCATATAGATATCATCCTCAGGCAACTGGCGAATCCAACAGAGATTCTTGATAGCATCCTCGCGACGACCACGCCCGAAGAGCCAACGAGGCGATTCCCGGATGAACCAGCCACCAATGAGCAAGAGACCAGAAGGAATCAATTGAACAGCAAAAGGAATAATCCATTGCTTGTGGCTAGGTTCCAAGGTCTCATCGACACCGAACTATTGATATTGTGTTAGCATCCACAGGACCAGTCGGACACAAACGAAAAGGAAACTCACGTTGATCCAGAATCCTACAAGACCACCAATCTGCCAGCCCAGCTCATATACACCAACCAGTCGACCACGAATAGCTGGTGGAGACAATTCGGAAATGTAGATTGGAGTGATGTTAGAGCCTGCTCCGACACCAAGACCAGCGAGAACTCGGCCGCCGTAAAGGAGGCCAAGGCCTCGGTCGCCATTAGCACCAAGCATGATGCCAGCACCGAGAGTGAAAATCACACCAGCGGCCAAGAGGCCAACCCTACGACCCCAGAAATGACCAATTGGATAAGCGAAGAAAGCACCGAAGAAGGCACCGGCCTGGTAGCAGGAGACAATGTTGGCACTGATAAGGTTCCTAGTGGAATCAGACATGTCGCCAAAGTGGAACTCGCTCTTGAAGGAGTCGAGAGAGAGTGTAGTGCCGATGAAAGCACTGTCGTAGCCAATCATGCAGGATGTGCATGAGGCTACCGCTGCCAGGAGATAGATTCTCCAGTTGTAGACCGCGCTAGGCGTCGGCCGGTCCTCGACTAGCTTGAGGATAGACATGGTGGCGGTTAAATATAAAAGAACTGAAAAACTCCAAGAGCCGCTGTGTCCAGATGATCTTGATCCCCAATGCTACGATGCAGTGAGGTAGTAAGGTGTATGCCCTAGGAAGGACGATCACCACGTATGAAGGTATGTATGAGGTGCAGGTGCATGCGCAGGGGAGGAAAGAGGAGAGGAAAGCAAAAGAAAGTCCTCGCCACGTTTTTCAGAACAGACTAGTGAGGATAGACGGGATCTAAATAGGCTCGACCCCGGACTGTCGATTTGCCCTTAGAGAAAGAGAGAGAATCTGGGGTTGGGAAAGGGGGAAGAAATCGTGGAGATCCCAAGGCGGAGAAAAGTATAGCGCAGGGTTTGTCAAAATCTCAAAAGCAGATTCAGCCAAGGCGCGGCAAAACGAATACTCTAAGTTATTGCATGGGCGCGGACAGTGCGTGTGAGGATTGGGTTTGTCGCCTCTTGGCACAATATAGCTTCCAGAGAGAAAGTGACTCACAAGGACATGCAAACTTTTGTTTGGCCATAGCCAAGTCAAGCCGCAATTATTCGCTTAAGCCAAGGATTGTGGAGCAATGTCGAGGTGTGGGGACTTCCCCAGCGGGTTTCCAGTTAACCCGTGACAGCGTGCATGTCTTGATCTCTCCGGGGTACCCCAGAGGCAATGCAGTGCACGATCCAGCCTTTGGTGTGAGATAGCGAAAGGCAATTGATCTGATTGGAAAACCAGAATGGATCCATTAAGGGGAGAAAACGGCCAATGACCAATTTGCTGGACATGGGTGGCGGGGAAAAGCCTTTCCCCGGTGGACATAGCCACTAAATATCCGTTGGGAACTATTTGGGTTTTAGTCTGTTCTCCAGCCCTAATAGTTCTCTCATTGGTTTGGAGTTTCCTGCAAGCCATAACAATTTCCCCGTGGGGTGTAGGTTGTTGCAGGGGGAAAGCATTCAGCCCGGCTGACTTTCTGTTGAACAATGAAGCATCGAATTTGCCATCAAGCCAATGATCATCCAAATTACGTCAAGTAAACCAGCAAGTGTACAATATAAA